TATATTTACTATGGCGAAACATTACAAGTACTATTTGATCACATTCGAACAACTAATGAAATTTTCAATAGCTTGAAAGTATTTTTTCGATAATAAATATGATTATAATACCGATGTAACTTTTACGTCACTTTCAAATGATTAGATAGAATACTTGTAACCATCTTCTTTGCCAATGTGATTTTTTGTTTCTATTTATTTAATTTTCATTTTAAGTACATTAAACAAATTGCTTTATTTAATAAAACTTAAGATGAGTTAAAACTTATTTTTATAAGAAATGTCATCTGTATTGAATATAAAAAGAACTTATAACAAAATTAAATTAATAGTTGAAGACTATACTATTATTGAAGGAAGTCTTAATGAAGATTATCCGGCCATTCTTCCTTATAACAAATATGTACCTACACAGCCAACAACGTATAATAATATTAGTTCAACTTTATAATAAAAATTATTCAAACAAACTTTTACAAATAATTTTTAAGAAATCTATTGTTTCAACTCTGAACTGTTTTAAGGGTGAACTAAATTCTGGCGTCGGAAAAACTTTAACTCGTCCCTTGAATTAGAATTCTCAAGTCAGTACTTTTTCTTATTTTCCTTTTCGGATTGCTTATTATGTTCATTTTCTTCAACTTTCATTTGCGAACACTTTATCCCTGTTACCATTCGTAAGCGTTATGGATACATAATAAAACAAATAGGTATAAACTTCAATTACATTAATAATTTGTAATGACTATACATATACGTTAATCATTTTTGTTTTCCTTACAATTTTATTCAAAAATGTCAAATTTCAATTACACATACTTATAATGTATAACAGTAATCACAAAAAATAAAAATTAAGAACAAAGCGAGTTGGTCGTTCTTTACGCTTGAAGATAATGTATCAATATGTTTATGAGCAATAGTAAATTTTTACCACATTATCGGAAATTTCCCATTTACAGAATAATAAGTCATTGTGCTCTAAGATACATATTATCAAAAAAAAATCTCAAAAGAAAAGTAGACGCCATTGAAAATCTGAATATCAGATCTCAAATTCGTTGACCTCATTTTTTAAGCTATACAAATTTTAATCTAAGTAAAATTTTACACCTTATTTTATGATTAAGTAATCAGACTCTCTTTTCAAAAGTGACTTGCGGGTATAAAATTACCAGCAATACCTTTAGTATGGTATCTTTAATATTTTTTCAAGATTCATTAAATGTACGGCTTCAGACATGATAGGTATAAGAGAGAAATAGAAGCTTGAGAAAAAATTGTATTATTCCAGTAATAGTATATCTAATAGCTAATAAATATTTATAATGTTAACTGTTTTATTAAGTAAAAATTCAAATATATTCGAAAGTTTCCCATATAATAATATTCTTAAATTTCCAATGAATATGTTGAGCTTCTTGTTGTTATGGTAGGTATGGAGTTATTTCCTTATCTTAAGATGTTCGTTTATATTAGTAGGATGGTTTTGATTGCGGTCCACTGGCCTTGCGCTCGTAAACTGGGGAAGTTCTCCATGAATAACGGTGTAATTTAGGGGCTCGCTCGTAATCCTTATAGCTAAACGTCCTATATACTTACATTGAAGAATTTGAGATTCCATAACTTAGAATCACTTTTAAGAACACCCGAATAAGCAATGGCATTAACTTCATTGGCATGTTATTAGAATATCATTAAAAGTAACAAACTTTATTTGCAAGACATATTTGAAATACCGTACTACTTAAAACAGAATTTATTACGAAGACACCACTTGATTTTAATAAAAGTGTTTATGTATACATTTCTGTAATAATAAGATTAAGATACTTCTGGTCTATGTAAAATCAATAAATCAAGTTCAACTGCTATAACAAATCGTAAGGAATCTACGAAATTGCACACTTTTTATATTCAATCAGAACAAATCTAAACAGATGAATTTATAAAAACACCTAAACTTTGATTTCTTTTTAAATTTTATTTCTGTAAATTTAGCATTCGACTTTTTACCATCCCTTTGACCACTTTTTTTACCATCCCCTTATAATTATGCGCATAAAGGGATCAAATTTGCTCGTACAAAACTTAGCGATCAATTTGAATTTCAATGTTGGATCTGTTGCAACATTTGTTACACTTCTGGTTTTTGAACGGCTGTGACTACATTAAACATGATGAGATTCATAGAAATGTCCCTTTATACAATTTAAACAAAAAAAAAGACGCATAATAATTCATGGTATATGTATAAAGTTTTACATATACATATTTTTTTAAAGAAAGATGAAAATCCTATTTAAGCAACTAACACTAAACATTTTTAAGTTTTACTATACATATTTGGAAAGAAAGAGGAATTTAGTACGGATGATGAAAATTAGGCTGCTTCCGCTATGAGACAAATCAGTTTAGTTCCGCTACGGTAAATCCCGGCCAGAATTCTCTATTACCCCTTAAATTTTTGACTAAATCAGACAAAATTATATGTTATCTTTTGTTCGTATTTACATATGTCGCTTTTTATTACATACGTATATTATAATAATTCTTAATCAAGCATATCTCAATATTTACAGTTACTAGAACAAGAGAGTGATTTTGGACATAGAACGAAAAAAAGGTTTGAATTCTTAAAAGGTGCTCTCAGCATAAGTCTACTAAAACACCCGTTTTAAATCCATGACAGTATACCACTAATGCGGTTCTAAGTATAATAAGTATGTATTTATAATTGTATTTTATAATAATTTCAGCCTAAAGTAAAAATAAAAACTCACTGCTATTTTCGAAAAATGTTTTTCTTAAAAATTTTAGATACATACATTATTCAAACATTGTATAAAATAAAAGTATTGAGTGCTTCATGTGCGTTTCATTATGATAAGAAGTTCATTAATAAACACATTAGTAAAATAAAACAATTAAGAATGTATTTTCCCTGCATGTTGACACATTTAAATACTATATGTTTAAAATATATAGTGATTCAAATTAACTAATTAAATTGTAAGATACATTGTGCTTTTTTATATACACTACATCTTAAACAAGTTTTAAAATACAAAATCGATTGCAAAAACTTCATTGATCTGCAATTAAAACTTGGTTATTTACCGTCAATCAACACAAAAGTAACAGTGATTGGTAAGAGGACGTTAGTAGAGGGCCTAATAGCAACTTGTTACCGGTACAAACGATTCAATCGATCAAACTCCCAGTGTCAACCAACTGAACATGTCCTCCTAATTGATTTTTTGACTCTGCGTGGACGCCGACTCCGCTCCCGTTTCCAAATGCGACTGACCAATTAATGAACACAGGTTTGCAATTCGCTTTGAGAATTTCGAAAACTGGCCTGCTGATTTACATGCAAATTGAGTTTCAAACTTTGACTGAAGATTACGTTAGTTATTTATAAACTTTATTCTGACTAAAAGAATGAGTAGATTAATTAAGCTTACTTATAAAATTCGTTTAAAATATTTTTAATCCTAAAAGAACTTGAAAAGATAAAAATGGAACATGAAACTTAAATAAATAATAAAACCTAACCCACTTTAGGCAAAATAAAAATTCATCGTCTAGAACACCAACATATTATACAAATACGAAAACATCATCCTAAAATATTACAAGGATATATGATTGAAGAATTTTCTGAAGATAACGATGTCTGTACAAAGAGCGGTCCCTGAACTATTGGTGAATTCGATAGTATTGTTGAGCTATCCATCGAAAAATAATAAAATAAGTTCATATATGAAGAAGTTTGCAACCGGCATACATATGAATGTATAACTCAATATACATTTATAAATACATTGTACAGTACACATAAAATTGTCTCCTTTAAGTTGAATAATACTAAGTCTGGTTGAGATAAACGAGTAAAATAATATCAATCAAAACCATATAAAGTCTCTGAATAAGTAATTGCATATCGGATTACTCGTTTAGAGAATTTTTAGGTTACATATCTCTGAAAAGAATGTAAAATGAAATAAAATTCTACATGACAATAATGTCAAAATATACAAGATTTTAATAAAAGTTTTCCCCACACTATTACAATTTTTTTAAAATATCCAGGTAAACAATGTCATCAAGATTATTCTTGGACTTGCATTGTTACATTGTGATATGATTACATAAAAGGAATTTTTCCTAATTATTGAATACTAATCACAAACGTCACATTGGTATTATAATGGACTCAATATAAATGATAGCTACGTCATGCAATTAGTGGCAAATACCCACAGATTTTCTTCATCAATTAACAATTACTTAGGCATTTGTTAATGTCCAATAATAGTCTTAAGTCAGAAGGGATCAGGGGTGAACGTAATAAATATTACTGAAAGATTCTTGTGTGATGTTACATTAATCATTTACAATGAGGAATCAAAGTCTGTGTGTCACCGTCATTCTTTTTTGGATGAATATTGTGTTTATTGGCGCTGCACGAAAAGGTATTTATCTTAAAACTTTTAAGTGCTTCTGAGCTCCTTTTACTTAAAAAAATACATCGGTTCTATTCTCGCTATTTGAATTGTTTGCTCTTTTAAACCAAAGTACAATAGATGAGAAGGGAGCCTTAGAAACGGGATCACTTAACAAATTAAATGGATTTCATAGAATAAAGTGCATTTATTATAGAAAATTGTATGTTTAAAAAAACTGTTAATACCTACCTATCTTTAAATAAAATTACAAGACCAATTTTTCTATTTAAAAATAGCTGATCCAGCAGGAATTATGTACTAGTTATAACTGAGAATATTTTGCAATTTGTTTTTATCATTACGCATTATATCCGGCTATATTCATTGTAAGTTTTTAAGATAATTAGTTGCAACGTTATATATAAAATCTACAATATTATTTGATAGTTATTTATTTTTATTTGTTATAAAAAATTATATACTTTATTTGAAATTTCAGATATTTGTGACAAATGTGTCCGTATTTCTGATTGCCCAGCCTTTGCGAATATGAATACCCGACAACAACAGGCATGGCTTCAACAATTTCCTTGTAAAGGCCCAACAGATAATGAAAGACCCTCGATTTTTGGATTCTCACCCGTTGCGAAAGGAGACTATGTAAAAAAAATCAATTTTTTATAAGATTTTCTGTTATTTTACTTTTAATGACATGTTATTATTGTCATGTATTATTTTATATATTTTTAGGTATGTTGTCCAAATTCTAATATTTGGGGAATAGATAATGGGTACCAAAACCAACATGAGAAACCAGTTCCCATAAGACCTAATGAAAGGGGACATCGTAATTATCAAAATCCTGGTTTTAATAATCCAGGTGCATTTACTGGGCAGCAAAACAATTTACTAGGAAATCCTAATTTCGAAAATGGTGTTGGAGATGGTACAAAAATACCTCAGCCATTTGGACAACATCCAGGAACTTTTGGTGGAAATGGAAACCCACAAAATGGACAAAATAATCAAGGCATATTTGACAATACCCCAAACTTAAATTTTCCGCAATTCCCTAACAATGGAAATAACTTTGGTGGCCAACCGCAAAACGGGCAGTATCCAAATGGTCCATTTCCTAACGGTCAATTTCCTAATAATAATCAGTTTCCCAATAGTAATTTCCCAAATAGTCAATTTCCTAAAAGTCAATTTCCAAATAGCCAATTTCCAAATGGTCAATTCCCAAGTAATCAATTTCCAAGCAGTCAATCTCCAAATAGCTATTTTCCTAATAATCAGTTCCCAAATGATCAATTTCCTAGCTTTACTGGACAAACACAATATCCCAATAGTGGGGACCAGAATAGCGGCATTTTTAATCAAGGTGGAAACCAACAATGTCCATCTCATACAGATATGATTCCAGATCCTTCTACAGGTTGTTGCGGCAAAGATGACTCTGACTCTGTAAGAATAACAGGTAAGTGAATTAAAATTACAAGAAATGTCTCTTAACAGCTTCTGCCTTTCCATTTGTCTATCTTTTATATATAATTCTTTTCCTTTTGCACAGATTTACAAAATGTACTTAGCATGTATGCACCTTCTAACTCGAATAGATATCCAAGACCTAACCATTCTCCTCGCCAAAAAATGCAAAGATTTCCATACTATCAAAACAGGCAAAAACGATCCTTTGACCAAAATAACACATCGGACGATAGTCTAGAAGATAGAATAGCAGGTAAGAATAACACTTTATCATAAATTGTAGTTTAAAAGTAATTACGTTCTTATAAGGTTTCCTAAATGCACATCTTAAATTTTCTTATCTTTATTTTTAACACAATTATATATACATATTTATTATATGGTATATTAAGACATTATGATAAAAATAAATTTTGATAAGTAATTTATTCATTAAGGTGGGAAAGAAACCGAATTGGATCAGTTTCCATGGACTGTTCTATTGAAAGTAACCTTCGATTATGGTAACAGAGAAGCTGCTTTTAGTTGCGGAGGCTCTCTGATAAGCCAACGATTTATACTGACTGCTGGTCACTGCGTATATGAGTCTGGAGCAAAAGTGTCAAGGTAATTAAATTCTAATATAAATAGCTTGTAAACCTTGATTTATTAAAGAGAAATAGGCTCCTTGGCAAAATATACTATTACATCCCTACCAATAGTTCATTTAAATGTTAATACGAAAGGTTGTTCTTAAATTTCTATTTAATTCTTACTTACCAAAATTTTGAACGTCTTAAAAATTAAGATCATGAGATATATATTATAAATGTACTATTTCATTCTTCTTTGTTATATCATTAGCCGTCAAACAAATTCGTAGACTTCATATTTCATCAAGTTCATCATTCTGGTCATGCATAGTGTTTGAACGTGGAGAAACTGAAATATTAAAAAGTAATATTTATATATATTAACGCTTTATATACCTTTTAATTTCTAGCGTTGAAGTCACACTAGCTGAGTACGACAAAAGAACATTTCCCAAAGACTGCATATCCGAAATGGGTGGAGAGCGAGAATGTATTGAAAATATAAGAATGTATTCAGAAAATATTATACATCATCCTGAATATGATGACGATCAACTACATAATGATATTGCGCTTATAAAACTTCGTGGATATGCTCCCTATACGCGTAAGAAACCCCATAACCCTATATATAAGAAAAAGTTGCAATAAAGATAATGAATGGCTGTTTTAAATTCTAATTAAACTTCCAGGTTTTATTAGGCCTATCTGTCTTCCGCCGTTAAATATCGATGACCCTGATTTGTCAAACTTACCTCTCTCTGTGGCGGGATGGGGTCGCAACGGTGCTTATGAAACTAATATCAAACAATCAACCGTAGTTCATTTGGTGCCCCATGACAAATGTTTGAAATCATATCCACAATTGACGGCATCTCATCTATGTGCAGCCGGTCGCACCGGTGAAGATACTTGTAAAGGAGACTCAGGAGGTCCTTTAATGATGTTATATCGAGGAAACTATTATATTATTGGTGTTGTTAGTGGCAAAAGAGCTGACAGTCCATGTGGAACGTCGGTACCTTCTCTTTACACAAATGTCTACCAATATGTACCTTGGATAACAAGTAATTTAAGAAATTGAACTTAAAATGTATTATTATAGATTTTTATCTCTTTTTTAAGGTGATTTCGTTTTATTATAAAACTGTATTTAAAATGTAACTGACAATTTATAAGACAATTAAATATAAGACGTTCATCAAGTGTATTTAATGATCCATTATACAAACAATCCCTAGAACAGAACCCGCAGGGAATAAATAAAATTATAAACGCCTATAATAAGTACATTTCAGTTTGAAATATAAACCAATTCCAAAGTTGTTAGAAATTCAAATTAGTTATGGGTTTTAAACACTAAATTATGTTAACAGCTGGCTAACAGTAATGGTAATATGAATTCGGCTTGTTTACTTTAATTGAAATACACCACTCAAACACAAACTCAGAATGGTCAATATTATGAAAAGAATAATAATTAATTGTAATACAAAAACAGTAACAGGCTTAACATGAGAACAATTTGTTAAAATTTAAATTTACCTTAACGAAATACTTTTATTATTGTACTGAAAGTAAGTAAAACTTCTGAACATATGGTTTACATTGTATATATGTAGAAGTAAAAATTTCAATAACTATTAGTATAATCACGTAATATAAAAAATATATATTTAATTTAATTCTTAGATTAAAATGTATTTTATCACTTAGTTAATAGACTATTAAGTAACGACATCAATTTAAATGTCATTAACAATGAAGACAATTTCACAATCTTAAATATGTCATTAAAATCTGTGACATTTGAACCACAAGGCCTCCAACTTCCGGACAATACATTGGAACACTTAAATGAGCAAACACTATTATCGGAAGGTGGCCGGGGGCGAGTAGATTTCCCTTGAGAGTCCTTGTCTTTAAAAGTGTTGTTCGAATGACCGCTGTTCTGGAAACCGTCCTTAAATCATACCAGCAAAAGACAAAACGAAGATCTTATATAAGTTATAACTGAGAATCAAAGCTTTATATTTTAGACAATTATTACCGTACGTACGTGAAATTGTATACTTTCAAACTTTAAAAAAAATCGAATTGATACGTTCCAGTTGACATTATTATACAAGATTTATAAAAAATGTTAATATAAAATGTATGTTTCAAATAAAAACGACGCGGTAAATATCCGCCGTGTCACAATTAGTGTGTATCCCGCTGGGGACGTGTTTTGTTGTTTGATATTGGAAGCATCCCCACTGAGCCATTAAAAAACGAATTTCGAACCGATTCATCACTGCTATAGGCAATGCACATACCGCTTAGTTATAAACCTAAATTTAAAATACGTTTATAATTGTCACATTTATTATTTATTTATTTAAAATCTTAAACAGAAATCTACTTTGTATATTAAAATTCATGACCTCATTCTAACTCGTTTTATTAAAAAATAAACTTTTCCACGAGCGTAGATACAAAACTCTTGATACCAGACTATTTAGGGTAATTACTTTTCCAGTTGGATAACTATAACTGGGACGGATAGTGTCATTTGCGGTGTATTTTCCGAAACACTTTTAGCGATGGATTCGATCCTCGGTGAAGTGAAGCAGAAATACAAGATTGTTTCCGTTCAATAGGTCTAATCTCTCAGTTGGGTATTCGTGCTGAAATGATCCTCTTTTATTGGCATCTCTTTGGTCGTTCGACATTCGCATTTAACTTAAGTAATTTTAATATTAATAATAATGTATGTTTTATTGCTCGAATAAGTAATTATTTAGGTTAAAATTATAAGGGGCACGTATAATATGATTATGTTAATACAAAAAGACACCAATTTCTTTCGTATCGAATATCATTTTTTAACACGACAAAACGCAATTCAAACATGAAATTCTTCATAAATATGCGATGAAATCCGAAACCTATTTCATATGCAACGCGTCGGTTGAAGATCTGCAAAACGGTCACTACATCTCGGACTTCATAAATAGACTGACATAAAACAAAGGTGAGCTTAAACTTGTTTCGTACTTGAAAATAATGAACTAAATAACTATAGTTGCTAGTTGAAATTTATTCATCTCTGTCTATTTTATATTTATAATATAAAATTGAAGTCCGCATATTATTTGAAATACCTTTAAACCATATTTACACTAATTCTTAGGGGTTTTTGTGTGCAAATAGGGTTTTTTGAAGTAATTAAATGTTTCTATAACAGAATGTCGTGGACTAAGGTGGTAGCGATAACTGGTTGCGATAGTGGCCTGGGTTGGAGTATTGCAGCTCGTTCAGCGCGAGAGGGTTTCATTACTGTGGCTGGTATGTTAATTAGATCATTCTTATACCTTAAATTACAATGACTTTAGTTATTTTCCATTTAAATTCGGTTGTCAAGTCAAGTCTCGGTAGAATTATTCATTTATTAAGTTAAACGTAATTTATTAAACTTAAATAAACTGTTATTAAACCAAATTGTAGAATATTTTATTACATTTTTGATCAAAATAAACAAGAGGTCAGTAAAATCATCATTTTATTATGAAAATAAACATAGTTCGCGACCAGACATATTTAATAATATTGTAGGTATTAAGACCCAAAGTCACAATTGTGTAAGATTAACTATTTAAATTGTAAAAAGTGGAATGCATTTTTTTGTACTTTAGAAGGTATGTGTTATTTGTTCGCCATAATACTACCTACAAAGCAACAGTATAAAATAAGTGTATAAGTTTTTTAAAGACAACATTATTACATAACTACATACTATACGCCCGGTTATTTTATCAAACTGTAGCATTATGTTCCTTAGAGAGTACTTTAAATTTTCTAGACATATTGGATTTTGGCCTACAGATCCACTTGAATATTTCGTATTACATAATCTTATCGCTCCAACACAAGACGATACAATAACTATTTATTATTAACAAAAATAAATTTTTAAATAAACAAAATCACTGGATAATAATTATATTTTATTAGTTTAACCTAAGTATTTTCAGTTTTTACCGTGAATATTTATTCTTAAGTGATTAACAAAACTTTATATGGTGTTATTCCACATAAACGTTGACAATTTAAGAGCGAATTAAAGTGAATAGTTAAAGTAAATCGATCGTAAAAAATATATCGGTGCTAAGTGCAAGTACAGTTATTAAAAATTACCCACTAGTAAACTAACATAAATAAACAAAGCAACAAATACTGTATCATCTAGCATATACGGGTCATAGGTGTCAGAACTTGGATTCATATGAGTCTCGATTACAATTTTACCACATGAATTCTCTTGAGTGACCGTCGAAAATTTATTGACATATTATTTTGATATAAAATTATCCATAATTATATTGAATCACCAGATCTGCTTGAACGCCTTAAATTCAGTGTTCACCGCCCCAGTAGTAGGCTACATAACAGAACAACCTTTAGTTTACCCACATGTCGAACGAATATCTTCCAACACGCGTCTTTGTAACTTATTTGTTAAACAATAAATGTTCACTTAAACGAGTGTGATATATTCTATAGTTCTTTAGCGTCTTTTAAAAAACAAATTCTTACATTTTAAATATTTAGCTAAGTGGTTTTTTCTTTCTATTTTATTATTGCAGTTGCATTATTATTTTTAGTTATATATTTTTATATAAATAACTAGTTTCGGTGTAGATATTTAAAATTTTGATTGTACACCACATGACACTTATATATATTTATACGCATGCTGTGTTCATATCCAGAAAGTTTCAATTTATGTTCATGTTTATATTAAGTTTAAAATTTTAAGGATTATAACCAGGTTAACCAATAAAAAAAATTATAATAATATGTACCAATATCATATATTGGACACAGATAAACTATCCTAAACTACAACATAAAATAAGAAACACACACAAACAATTTTGCGCACCAAAAAATACGTTGTAATTTTGTAAAGAAGTAAATCTAGCTAGATTCATCTATGTAGTAAACACTTCTGTATAATATAGACTAAGTTGCCATCACCGCGTTACATACGGAAATTTAAGAGTTTTTCATAAATAAATCATAATATATTACAATATTAAAGTATTCATGTACCATGACAACATAAACTTGGTTTGTACTATTCAAATGTTTGTCTTTCAGGCATGTATAACGGCATTAACACAGAAGCAGCTAAGTCTCTGAAACGTCTTCGAGCTCATACCCACAAGCTGGATATCACCGACGCCAGCAGCATACTCAGTTTTTACGATTATGTCAAGAATATTTTGCATAATAACAATAATTATGGTAAGTGGTTATTAATTTTAATTAAAAACTTTATTACTAGGGATGTGAACTTCGTTAAATCGAAACAAATGTTATATAATAAGCTTTTTTTCGATCGGACTCATGAATCTTCTTCTTCTAGAAGAATATTAGATGATAACGAGTTTAATATTTGTAAAGCTAAAAGAAAGTGTATGATTATTTTATTTTTAAGTAAGACTATATTTTTTTTTAAAGTTCACTGACCTCAATAGCAATGATAAGCATTTTGTAAATTAAAAAAATGATTTTTCATAACATAAGGTAAAGAAACCATTAAGTTTAAATTACTCTTGCGGGGAAGAATCAAAAAATCTTTATTGCTTTGAAATTCTTTAGTAACCAAAATAATAGTAGCATTTATAGCAAACGGAATATTAATTAAATCTCATATAACTAATACTGTTTTTGATAGAATTATACGCAATTGTTAACAACGCTGGAGTGATGACCATTGGAGATTATGAGTGGCAAACGCCAAAAATTATAGAAAATACAATTAACGTCAACTTACTTGGAACTATGAAATTCACTTCGGCTTTCTTGCCAGATTTACGCAGGAACGCATCAAAGGTTGGCAATTTATTTATCATCTGTCATATGCATTACAGGCCCTTTATGATAGACATATACATACATACGTACATGTACAACAAGCATAATTTAATTAGATATATGTATAGTTTCATAAGAACAAAACTAAAATATTTATCATTATTTATTACAAATATATTTAAGAGTGTATTTACTTAATAGGTTCTATTATTTCATTTTAGAATAAAAACAACCCTCGTATAATCAACGTAGCAAGTCATTGTGGCCTTCAACCTTTACCTGGGTTCGGGCCCTACAGCGCAAGTAAAGCTGGTTTACTCGCCTGGAGTCAAGCTTTACGTCTTGAACAATTGAACTTCGGATTAAAAGTCGTTTCATTCGTACCAGGTATGATAACAGATAATTGAATAGCAGATAAAAAAACTCAGTATACCTAATACATTCTTATTTTTTTAGGTGGTTTTGTTGGTGCCAGTAATCTTATGACGAACCAATATTCAGATTCAAATGCTATGGTTGAACATCTGACCGAAGAACAAAGATCGATTTACGAAGCAAAAATTCGTAGATTGAATGATTATTTAAAACTTGCTTCCAATAATTCAAGATTTGATTCCTTAAAAGATGAAAATATAATTGAAACATTTATGAAGGCCCTCACTGATGAAAATCCTAAGACAATGTACAAAGTTGAATCGTGGCGTTACAAACTTTATTATAATTTGTTTAAGTTTCCTTTGCCGGATAAATCTTACAGATGGTTGATTAATAAATTTCTTGGTTTCCCAAAATAAATAATTCAACACGGAAAATAAAACATCATTTATTTTTCCCATATATCCATAAGTCCTAATTTTTTTTATTAAACAAATCATCAGTAATGTCTGAGTTATGTCCTTTATAGTAACAAAAAAAATTCTATAACTTTTCATAGTCCCTGGGACAACAAATTGGATCATATTACGGGTGCGCATGTAGAAGTGGTGATGTAAAAGGGTTCCGACATGTTAAAAAAAGCGGGTTATACTGAATCTATATTCGATAGCCGGCCGGTAAAAAAAAAACAGAACCCACTTAAATAAAAATTAAATATATTTCAATAATAATTAATATTTTTTTTATTTGGTTTTTTAGAAAAATAAATCTAAGTGATAATATAATTTTTAATTCAAAAAGTACTCTGAGGCTTTACCGTGTAAGATTCATATTGGAATCACTATCGTAGGATCTTTTATCAGAACGCTTCCGAAAATAACTAAGGAAATTCTTTATCAGTAGAGAATTGGGATTGATGCAGTAAGAATAAATCTAGATAGACAAAACTAATGGTTGTAGAATACCAAATCAAGGAAAAGTCAACAACGTCATCTCAAGAGTGTAACAAATTCTTTCAATTATTACCCATTAGTGACTACTGAATAATTTTCACAGTCTACGCCTGTGTATGTGTGTATGATCCTCAAAATATTACAGGTAGAATAAAATGTATCATTTTTATTTCCCAGGTAGAAAATCTAGGGTGTTCCAGCCAATCAGTTTAGCTATTAAATCCGGCTATCTCAAAGTTTATCAGTCTATTAATCATCCTTTCTTTTTCTTTTGAATAATGGAATAAGTTTTAAACAAACTAACTTTACGTTGAGGAGGTACATATTTGAGGCCTTGCGAACCTGTATAGGAAGAAGGCTCGAAAGCGGTATAGAGGTTACCGCTGAAATAACCTTGACGAAGAGTCATTTACATTTTTGGTAACGTAGCAATATGGTTTGTAATATATTTGTTATTATACTATAATAACAGAATAATTTCTCACAGAAATTAATTACCGTCTGACGTCGGCCACCTTACGGTCTGACGCTCCGCGAAGGCACAATGTACCACTGAATAAAATGAAGAGCCCAACTTATTTGAAAATGGGCCTTTTGTGGGGCTGTCGATGCTATACCACAGCAGAATCGCCTTTAATTTATCAGAAAAGCGGCTTGAGGGACATCCGTGGGGTTATAGTTGGTAGCGCGTCCTTTTCAGGACAAGAGTCCGATAGTACTCTCCTTGATTTCTTCCTCCCCAAGTAAAAGAATATGCATAACACATTTTCCCACGCAAAAAAGGAATAAATTACCGTCTGATAATATCCACGTTGAAGTGTGTAGTTACCTGTGGATATTGATCTATAAACATAAATGACAAAACTTGTTGTAGGTATAACATGTAGATATAAATAATTAGTCATTCATTGTAAACAAGTTGTAAGCCTCTCATAGTACTTTATCGACATTGTATGGTTGTTTATGTAAAATTAATCCTAAGGGTTAACATAATTAGTAGCGTGGCGCACTCCATACATGCAAATAAGCAGTGGATACCGTAGTCGTTAAACAGCTAAATTTACGTTAGTAAATTTTTATCGATTTACTTTCATTCACTCATTTATCAATACGAATCTTCTCAGAGATGCATAATTCGATTTGATTTATATCTTAATTTGATAATTTTTTTAAACTTGTCAACAATCGTGAATATACAGAAATATTTTCGATATAGCGCTGTAATTGTATAAATTGTAACTAATCGATTAATGACCTTTCCAATGATTTTTTTTGTATACTAAGTACCTAAGGGGGACTAAAACCGAAAACGGTCTTATACCACAAGTTTATGAAAATAGCTACGGTGGCTTTATACAATTACCATGAATAAAAGGCGTAATTTTCTATTCTGGCCTAACATGCTTCGAAAAATTGATTTGCAGTTTACTCAATGATATTTAACGTATAATTTTATATTATTAATACATAAACGTATTTATTTATCAGTCTGTAACTCTATTATTGTACCATAAATTTAACATTATTCTAACTTAACTAAATAATGATATTTTAAGTAATCAAATGGAAGAATTTTTAATGTTCAGAAATATTCTGTCAAGTAATTTCATCGAAGTTTAAGTACATAGTGAACTCTAGCATTCTCTGAAACTGAAAACGTGCACCTAAAAAGTTACTAATACTGGCCAATTTATGTCATAATGTTTGACGTACTTCGACGTACATATAATTTTTAAAATAATTGTGCATCCTTTTTAAAATGAAAGCCCTACAGCCTATTAAAAGTTTTTTTTTATCTTAGTCACTTATAAAAACTAATTGTTAGAAACGAAGGCTTAAAACATAAAATGTCGTTTTCCTAAGAAATTAAAAATAATCTTTGATTTTCAGTTTGGTTTATTGGTTGAGAGCTTCTATGCTTCTAGAATCTATAAGATTAATAAAATAGTTATGAGTTGCTTAGATAGTTTGATTACGTAGAAATAATTATAGTAAATTATATTCATATATTCCTTCTACAAAAAAATTTAGTAAAGTATAAATATATAACATAACACGGTTTTCTAAATGAATGGGTCGAAATCTTTTTCTTTTCAAGGTTATTTATAAGCCGGTACTGGCAAGTTACGCTTTAGATTAACAGTGACAAGCGTGTTAACAATTGTCAACTTCATGTTATAGCGTGAAACGTCAAAAATCACTGTTCGGCGAAATTTGTTTGAAATGAAAGATCTGTATTAAACACAATATTTAATATTCATATATCGTATTTTGCCCAAGGATTACTTATTTATATTAGACTTCAATAGAAAAACAGGGTAAGTCAATTGCTGCCTCTTATGTTTTTAAGCACCTACCGAATGAGGTCATCGACTTGATCTTGATTTATTTTTGGAATATTTTTCATATAAGGGAATGAATTTACCAAAAACAGGGATAAACATATTTTTTCACCACTTCTGAAGCTCTATGTATTTATTTTTTCCTTAAACAATTTAAGATCATTCCAGTATGTTGAGTACGAAAAACATCTGTGATGTCTATTTTTTGTTATTAATAATTACTAGCCACCCACTTAATATAGACTATTGTAAGAATGAGGAATAATTTTATATGTCATGAGTTTATCCTTAAGATATTAATAAAAAAATAAACTTACTTGAACATTTTCAAAATTTCAGGTAAAATAACCAGCATGGAGCAGATTCTACAGCAAGTTGCTCAAAATGTTGAGAAACAGCTTGACAGTGAGATTGAGAGGTAAGAACTAAAATAATTTTTTAACATGCCTTTATTATATGAATAGAATACATCTAATAATTAAAGTATTTAAAATAGAGTCTAAATCTTCTATAATAAATGTAACAGGTTAGATGCTATGGACAACAGTGATTTGGAGGCAATCAGGCAACAAAGGATCGCTGAAATGAAACAGAGAGCTAAACAAAAACAGGAATGGCTTGCAATTGTATGTACATTTTAAAAACATTGAACTGTAAGTTAATACATCACCTGAGTTAAAATACTGTGATAAATACATACATTTTATTTCTAGGGTCATGGAGAATACACAGAGATTGACAATGAAAAAGAGTTTTTTGGTGTGTGTAATAAGAGTGAAAATGTTGTCTGTCACTTCTATCGGAATGACACACCAAGGTGTCGTATTGTTGATATGCATCTTAAGATTCTTGCTAAAAAACATATAGAGACCAGATTTGTTAAACTTGATGCAGAAAGAGCTCCCTTCTTAACAGGTAATAATTTACGAAGTTTTTTGAATGAAAATACACATATGTACAAAATTTTAAAGATCCATGTTTAATTTTATAATAGGTATTTGTAATTGTGTACACTTAATATTTAGTTTGAATCTTCCTGTATGAAGTACAGAGTAAATTGGAATTATTAATGTAAATAAAAAAATATTGTATATAATTTTTTATTATCAGGTCGTCTAAAAATTCGTATCATTCCCACAATTGGTCTGGTAAAATCCAACAAAACAAAGGACTTTATTGTCGGCTTCACAGACCTTGGCAACTGCGATGACTTCTCCACAGACATGCTTGAATGGAGAATTGCCAGGTGAAAAAAATATAATTAACTACTTATATTGATCTCAAATAACTATTTAAAAATAGAAAAAAATCCTTTGTATTTTAATTCTAACATATTTTTCATATAAATTTTCAGATCAGAGGTGATAGAATATTCAGGTGACCTATTGGTGCCCCCTGCAGAAGCTAAAAAACAAAGAGCTTTACACATTCAAAACAAGAAAACAATAAGAGGAGGGAATGACTCTGATTCTGATATTGATTTTAGTGACTAATAAAATATATTTTTATACTTTTAAAATTTCGATTATGTTTATTTCAGCCAGTATCAAAAAGAAAATTCAAATGGCTTTAATATTTTTTATTAAACCACAGTGTTTAGTTGAGAAGACAAAAAAATAACACAATTATATATGTATAATAACAAGCTTTAATATTATTTGTATGTGAATATGAAAAAATATGAAATTCACTGTTTATATTTTATGATACAATAAAATTTTACTTTATTTTCTCATTTAATAAAACTATACACTCCTTTTATTTATGCGAATTATACAAACTAGAACCAACCTACTTATTGATCTAAATTGAGTTATGTAGTAAAGATTTGGTTGAATGTATAGGTACATATCTCAAAAAACTTACCATTTTTTATCTGGACACTACCAAAACATTAACCTAAGTAAGTGATCTGTTTTGCATTGATTTTAGTTTCCATAGCTTTGTCCAATTGACCTTGCAAAAAAAGAAATTCAACAACAAAATCTTTACCATTAAGAGCATTATTATTCGCAGCTCATTTATAATTACTATACAAATCTTCAGTACATATAAATATAGAAGTTAAGATGGTTTCGTAAGTAAATTAAAGCAAGCTGCAAGCTACAAACCACATATACTTTTGTGCTTTATAGAGCACAACCGTAATTTTTATCTTTGAAACGAAAAAAAATCTTCAAAAGAGAAACTTCTTTGCTTTACAAAACCCTATTCGAACGTTGGAGCTCTTTTGTAACATTTAGTTTACTTATTTCTGAATTCTTGTATAATATAACAAAATTTTATTAGCAATAATTATTGTGGTAAAATGTTATAAAAGGATTTTGAAAAAAATCACAAAAGTATTTTTTTTATGAAGCTGTATTATCAACAGCCTATCAGACGCCCACTGCTGAGCAAAGGCCTCTTTCTCACATGGAGAAGATTTGAGCATTAATCATCACGCTTGCTCAAGACGGGTTTGGTGATTTCAAACTTATAATTGTGAAACTATAAGTCCAGGTTTCCTTACGATGTTTTCCTTCGCCGTATGTCAGTGATGTCTAAATACTCTCAGAAAGTACATATGACTTCGAAAAATCACATTGGTACTAGCCAGGTTTGAACCCGCGCCCTCGACAACGAAAGGCGGGCCCCTTAACCACTAGGCCACCACTGACTTATTATGAAGCTGTATACGATATATTTATTATTTTTAATGCTATATATTAGTGCACTACTGATGTTTAATTTCTACTCTGAATTACAAAGATCCTCCTTTAATAAAAAAAATCAAAATTATTCATTTTAATATGAATCTATAGATCATCATTTTAGATTATTTGTGTGACAACTCGATAGTAATAGTATCGATTTAAACCGAGTTACAATAAAAAGTATGAGTCAGCTGAATCGGTAAACTAGGTGGACTACTGAATAATTGCTTTTTTTTACGAGTTTAACTTGAAATAGATATTAAAAATACAAAAAGAAATCATTGTTTGATATACAATCATATATGAATTTTTTTTTGAAATTTTAATAACAGAAATATTTATAATTTTCATCAACAATTTTGTTCAATTTATAACAGTATTTAAGAAATAAAATTAGTCTCATATTACTATGGAAGGTATAAATAAAATTATGAGGTACATATTTTTTAATGCCTCAAACAAATCAAACATTTCCCATAATTTTATATTTGTAAAAGTACTTTTACAGTAGTCACATTATATGTTGATAATATATTATAAGTATTAATTTCATTGTGTTTCGACGGTTTGCTTATTTTATAGTATCTTTGTATTTCCATTATGTTTGGATGAACCAGGTCACTGGTTACAAACACATAACATGTTCACTATCTAAAGATTTTAGTATCACAAATGGAGGTAAAAAGGGATGAAACTTTACAAAAATAACCGGCACTTTGAAACTCGCTCCAGCTGAGCTTCATTCGGGTTTCAAATTCGATGTAGTTAAAATAAAAATCAACTCGAGTTCCTTATTCGAGTCATCATCCCCACTTTTGATAGATGTCAGTTTTTAGTTATCTCTCTAATAGTCATTGAGTGAAGTTGTGTGTAATATTAGGTTTAAAATAATTTTATAGATTTGTAGTTTTAATTTTTATAATATGCTGCGTATAGTTTTTGATTCCCTCATATATTAACCTTGCAGTGGCACGTATCATTTTCGGAAAAATGGAAATCCAATTTGGCCCGAATTCCGTTGAAGAGCCGGTGTGTTTTCAAAATAATTGTACTTTTTATATTAAATTAACATCGTACTTCATTGATATTGCTATTTCAGAATCTGCTTTATAAACTTCAACGGAAATTGAAAGTTTTTAACACGACTAATGCTTTGCCGAATCGAGGTTACAACTTGATAGCTAGCAGTAGCAAATATGGCTTAGTTTTCATAACTTCGCCTGAAGGCATGCTATGTGGTATGTACTCTGAAAATTCTATACGTTGTTACATTATTGGTGTTAAAATAAAATAAACAATTACTAAAGCCCTGTCTTTACTCCAGTATACTACCTGAAACAATTAATTGACAAAGAGTGTGAGCCTGAGCATTTAGTTATTCCATTACCAATGCATCCTACACACATAGCTGTGAATTGCAATCAAGAGTGGCTCGCTATAATCAATGGACCACTTCTACTGGTTTATAAATGTTTGGACTTTCAAAACCAGGTATTATGTCACATATTAAATATATATAATTTGTAAACATAAGTAAGAATTGAATTTTGTTCTTAACATTCCTGATGTTCCAAGGATGTGAGACCTTCAGTTATAATGCAACTTGAACTAGCTCCTACCACTCTTGTGTCATCATTACAATGGAATCCTTGCATAGCAGATACAATTGGCATTGTTTTTGTTGATGGTACTCTACTTGTGAGTCAGGTCAGCACGATGCAAGTAAAAAAGATACAAGCTGATGCTAGGTAAGTTAATAAAACTTGTTTATTACTTTTAGTACAATTAAATATATACAGTCAAATGCTTCTGTGGTATCTTATAACATAGAACATGATAAATAAAATTCTAATAGTGGAAAATTCCTTGTAAAATTATAATTAATAAGATTATTGATATTTTAAATATGTCTATTTAGCTCACTACAAGTGTGACGTGGTATCAATCCCGTTTTTGGGCCCAGCCCCAATAAAAATTTGTATAGAATTAGAAACAAACAATATTTTTAATTTCACACTTCAGGCTGTTCATTGCGATGAAGCAATCTTGAGAAATTTTACATTGCCAAAACTGCATTGTTTCTTTTCATAAACATAACTCTATTCACCTTATTACCAATTTTTTGGAATGTGTCTTGGGAATATATGAACAGCCTTCAATTATTAGTTTTTTTGAGGTGTCCTTGAACTTTTACTTTTGGTATCCCATTGAGTAAAAACCTAAGCTGCAAGGGAATCTAATGTAAGGATGTGATGTGAAAGTATGGCATTACCTCACTCCAGAAGGCTTAGTTGTCTTGACACAGTACTGGTCAATTTAAGTGTGAGACGCTTTTGTCTCATTTGGACTAGTATTTAAACAGACTTGCAAAAAGGCTTATTAGTGACAATTTAGTTGAAACTATTAATAAATGTTGTTAAGCCTGAACACACAAAAAAGGCTACCTACTCTGTAAATGAAACTAAACATACCTCATTTGTCCGTGATCACCACCTGGATGAACTGATATTGCCCACCTTCCTAATGATTAAGAAAAAATGAGAAGAGTTTGCTTATATCAGTCTCTTCTTTACCCTTACCATTTGTATTTTATCAATCCAGGGCTTAATTGTTAGCTCCGAGGGAGTAAGTCCGGTCTTTGCCAGGACCGGCCAGTCGCTGGTGTGCCCTGTCGCTGACAGATCCGGGGTACACCGACATAGCGGCCGATAGCTTTCGCAGTGGTTTTAGTGAGTAGGGGCCTGCCCAGGCCGAGCCTCACACATCCCTTCCGGCCCCACCAAGGCCGGTTGGACGGCTCGTAAAAAGAGTTTTCACTACGTCATCAAAAAAAAAAGGGCTTAATTGTTACACACAATAGGGTGTAATAATAATCAAGAGCTATCCAATCAGGGTTTAAAGATAATTTTTCAATCTTGACAATTATTAAGTCAGATTGATAGTAAATATTGGAATCAAAACAGATTTTTTTTTTTAGATGCCTCTGCTGGAGTCCTAAAGGCAAACAGCTTGTGACTGGCAACAGTAACGGGACATTGAAGCAGTATAAGCCAGATTTGACACTAATGAAAACATTTCCTGCACCTAACCTGTTTGAGAATTGTAGTGCAGAAGTATTGGCAATTCATTGGATAGCCACATTTCAGTTTGTGGTAACCTATAGGAATGCTTCAGACAATAGTCGACCAGGTAAGATAGCAATATCATAACTAAATCTCAAATAATATGATTTGTAGAACCAAATTTTTACTCACTAATTATTTTGTAATATGTACTTCTAAATTGGTTTTTGAAATATAATATTTTCAAGAAGGTTAACAATTTGGGGTGTGATTGTATGAAACTGTTATGCAAGCGCATCTTTTATTGATAGTCATCAGTTTTATGATTATATTTTTCACATTTACGATATTTTTGACTATAATTAAAAATGTATTCTACACTAATCTTAATTTTAGGACTTAATCTAAATTAGTTTTTTTGAAAAATGAGAATAATAATGTTAAGTTAACGATTACCCAAGATCAAACATCAGTATTAGTACATGTAATTTAATTAAAACTCTATTATTGAATGTAAGGTACTAGGTAGTCTTTTATAGAAGCACATTATTTATTTTAATACTTTTACAAAAGACACAGATTTTGCAAATTATTTAAAAAGGCTAAGTGATCAATTACATATTGAAGCTTGTTTAAAGACTAAGCCCCACATCATGACCAACTGTAATGGCTTATATGATAGTTGGACAAAAATTTCATTAGCTTCATTCACTTAAAAAATGTATCAGTTATGTATAAGAGGTGTAAAAACATATATATATATATATATATATACAACAACCTAGTAAGAAAAATAGACAATTATTAATCTGAAATAAATGTTAATATATTTATTTTTAACAACAGCAGTTGCACTAGTCAACATTATAAAAGGTGGAACTCCCACTTGCTTCAACTATGAGGATATTTGTTATAGCATAGGCTCTAACAGACCCTGGTATTACTACTTACTTGGATTTGCTCAATGGTAATTAAATTATTATATAGTTTATTTGTGTTAGAAGGACTAAAGTATTAAATTTTATACAAACTTTTGCAGGAATATAATACTTGCTGCATCATCTAATAGTATGGAAATAGCAACTCTTGCTTCCACAGATGGATCAAATTGGGTTCAATGGTGTCAGGTATAAGCTTTCTAATGTTTATATATTTATGATATTCTTATATCAACTATATGAAAGGAATTTTCTTTTCTTATTATCAAATATTATTTCTAGTAAAGTATTAGTTAGAAACTCATTAATAGAGAAAATAGTGGCATATTAACAATGTTTTAATCTTACAGTTGGATGAAGCGAGACCAGAATTACCTCTGACTGATAAAAATCAAGAAAACTACCCAGTTGGTATTTGTATTGATACAGCCGCTGTACATCAACTTCCTTGGGGTTTGTTAAAACAAATTAAACTACTTATACATATGCATATACATTGCCATATAAAAACAATTTTACAACATCAGCATTCATGGTATTATGTATTCTATATTACTGTGAACTTTAAAGATTTTATAGCAAATTTGCATTTATTTTTTCTGGCTAAAAGTAATGAACCAAATTCATACATTAATTGGTTTCGCAAGCACAACTGTAACAGTTACATCGTTTTAATTGATAATACCTCTTTCTGTTCAATTAAATTGCTAATATTATGTCCTAAATAGAGAATTCTAAATTCAAATTATCTTATTCATTATTGTTTTCAGGTGAAAATGAAGTTCTTCAACCAATGCCTCTCCTCCACGTGTTGTCTCAAACTGGACTACTGTCTATATTTAATATTATAAATCTAAACAAACAAAGCCCTCAAGTTTGCACCCCAATACAACCATTGGAGCTCCCAGTACAAGCATTAACCAGGTATATTTGGCTGTTTCATTTCAATATTTTATTTTTAGTAATAAAAAATTATATAGCAAATTTAAATGATACTTTACAATAACTCACAGGGAAATACCTGGACAAGCTCCTCAACCTGTTGCTAGTGCAGCTGTACCTGTTCAACAGCCAAAGGTATTAAATTAAAATAATTATATATTAACACTTTATTTGTTATCACCATATTATTATATACTTCATTATTTTTCTTTTTTTAATTTTTTCAGCCAGTGCAACAACCAGTGAAACCATTACAGCCGCAACCAGTGCAACAACAAACACAACCAGTTCAACAACAACCACAACCAGTTCAGCCACAACCGCAGCAAACTGTGGTATTACAACAGGCAGCAAAACCAGTACAACCACAACCAATGCAACCTATGCAGCAACCAATAACAATACCTAAGCCACAGATTCCACAATCAGCATCAACACCAGGTATTACTTAATTAAATATTTAATAAAATTATAAGTATCATAATCATAATTTCATTGCTTTGCAATTACAGTTTTAAATCTGCCAGTAATTAAGTTGAAATTGATGTTCATTAGAAAAAGAATATTTGTTTTTAGAAATTCCAATTATAATTTAAATATGTGATTTCAGCAGCTAATGTTTCTTTTGCTGTGAAGAAGGAAGCAACTGCAACTGTATCAGAATCCCAGAGTTCAGAGGTATAAAGCTGAAATTTCACTTATCTAACTGTTTAAGTCTCACATATAACTGTAAGTTAAATAATTACAGCAGACTCAAAAACAGTCCCAAATGCAAGTACCAAAAGCACAGACGACATCACCAGCTGTGAATGCTGCTCTCAAACAAGAAGAGGAAAGAATAAACAAAGCGAAAGCAGAACAAGAATTGAAGAATATGTTGTTAAAAGAAATTAATGATTTCCAAATGGAATTATATAAGTTTATGAAGAGCACTTGGGAAAAACAGGAGAAGGTGACTATCATATGCATACTTAAAATAATGTTTATATACATATACTAAGAATGTGACAATATAATATAGAATATATAGAAATAAATAGGATTTAATCATGGGTCTGTTAAATTATAATATCTATGATCTTTTAATATACATAATATAATGCACAAAAATAAATAAGTAATAATTATTTGTTTACTAGCTGACCTGGCGAACTTCGTATCGCCCTATAATCAAGAAATATCTGTTACGTTTTTTTATTTATATTTTTGGAGTTTACCTATAAATCTCCGTGTTTTGAAGTGCGACAAAATGATTGACATATTAGTTAGTTGTCAAATCTAATGTCAAAAAATAAAACGTTTGTATGGGAAATAGAAAAGGGCTGTTTTTATGGTTTTCCCAGTAATGAATCAATTTTTTTCAGCTTTTATACCTTCCCTGAACCTCCACGAACATTTTAAAACTAAGATAAGATAAATCCGTTCAGCTGTTCTCGAGTTTTAGCGAGACTAAGGAACAGCAATCCATTTTTATATATATAGAAGATTAAATTATAATATATGGTCTATATTAGTAAAACTTTCATTATTTTCAGTTTGAAAGAGAACTCCAATCTGTAGACTTGAATCTCAATATAGACATGGATCCTGAAACACTAAAGAAAGAATGTGAAATAGAAGATTTATGTGAGACTATCACACAACTCAAGTTGGATTTGGTTAAAGCTTGTGCTATTGTTGCAGAGTCTAGAGCACATGCTGAGTAAGTACCAAGTGGAACTAACTACATATTATTTTTCACAAAAAAATATTTTGATACACAACATTTAGCAATAGTACGTTTTATCTCTGGATATCATTTCTAAAAGAAACATAGATTCTAATTAAATTAAACACAAAACATAATTTGGACAAATTAAAAATATGAAATATAAATCGATCAACTAAAATCACAGGGCACAATTGGTTGTAAATAAATCTTATTTTCAGAGCAAACGAGCACCGTGATTGGAGACAAGCGGATCCGCTAACAACTAAAAGACTTTCGTCTATCAAAAAAATGGTTTACTATGTACAAAACCAACTTGATCAAGCAAGAAAAGCGCTGGAGCTTAAATGGAACGACGTCTCCTTAAGAGATCAGCACGGCAAGTAAGTATTACAAGTATAATCAAACAAAATATCTACATAAAATTATATATAACTGAATTATTCACACACAGAGAACACCTTAGTATTATTTTTATTAGAATCAGATTATACAAACCTGTACTATATTATCCTTGTAACACTTATTTATATGTATATTGGTTTGCATTTAACTTTTAATGTAACAAAATGTGAAGAATAATTATTTTAATTCATTTATTATAGACCAGGAGAGCGCATGATTCGTCCCATACTAGACGATGTCTACCAACCACTTGTGAAGCAACAGGAGATATTGTGTAGACAACAGGCTGTATTGAAAACATTAAAAAACACATTAAACGAATGTAATCAGACGCCAGTTGTTAAGTCTAAATCACTCTTAAGAAGCACTCCGTTCCGAAATAAGTGAGTGTAGGATTTAATTAATAATGACTAACGGTTAAATACAAATATGACCGATATAATATTTTTTTTGGTAAAATTTAATTCGTATTTTTATTAAGAATCGCTCACCTTATTTCAGAGATCCACTCTCCAAACTTACAAAAAATATACTAAATATGAGCATTGAACCAAATAACAGAACAGAGGATCAACCGCTCAGTGCACAGAAACTGGACGCTTTGAGAGATCTTCTATCAAACCACAAACCAATCAAAATCAAACCAGTCAATGTAGAACTGCGTCAACATTTGGAAACGCTGAAAAAGAGATATGAGAAAAGTTTGAAGGAAAAGAGTCAAGTTAAAAAGACGGAGAATATTGAAAAAAATGAGATTAAAAAAGAGGTACCGGTACCACGTAAGTAATCATATACAGTTCTTTTTGCATTTAATGGTACATGAAGCAAGAACAATTTACGATACATATTTTTTTTTGGTTTCTACAGAACCAAAAATCGGTGAAAGTCTTATCCAAACAAGCAAACCACCAGTTCACGTGGAACCGAAACCAGTGTTTGGTCAGAATTTATTCATGCAGAATGCGGCACAAGGCATCGACTTTAAGAAAGAATCCAACATGCCTTTCAAAGAAAAATTTGGAGGAAGCACATTTTCGTGTAAGTATTCGATAAACACGAGTTTTATACATGTGTTAAAAAACTCTTTATTTCACGAAAATGGTAGTTGTACCCTAAATATCGACGATTCCCAAACTTACTTTGTCTACTGTTCACTTTGAGAATAAATTACCTTTTAAGCTCCCATTTTTCATCTCTTTAAAAACCACTATAACATACCCTAGTTGAATGAAAATAAAAATTGTTATATGATTAAGTTAATTTTATGAATTTCAATTATCTTGTTATATGTGCCGTAACAATACATAACAATACATTACTTAAAAAAAACATGTCTTATTTTAAATAAAATTATTTATTAATATTAATCAAAAATCTTTGTATTTATTTTCATTTCACATGATCTTTAATTTTTGCGACGTGTACTTTAGGAATATTTTCTTGCTATAATTCTATATTTCTAAATATAATTTCAGTTACACAGACAAAACCAGAAGCACCGAAACCGGATGTAGTGAAAGAATCTCCTGTTTCAATTCCAACATTCACTCCATCAAACATAAAACCAAAGCCGACCGTGCAGAGTGTTGCTAGGACTTTATTCACAGACGGTAATCGCTCTTATTTATTTCTTCTTAAGGGTTCTAATTTCTATTTATAATATTTTCTACTTTTAGATCTACTTTTACATAGCTTTCTTGTAAATAAGTAATAATTTAGTATTTTCTATATTTTATTTTGATACTTAACCATTATCACTAACTGATAGAAATATATTGACATGTTAAGACTGCATAATTTATTACAAATATTGATACCAGTCTTATTTTCATACAAAAAACAGTAACTTATAGTACTGCTATGCCATTTTATTACAGAACCAAAAGAAGAAAAACAAGCAACTAGTCAACCGAGCCATTTGACCAAACCCGATCAGCAAGCAAATGCGAGTCAATACACAAAAAATCTCTTAAGGAAGATGATATTAAAAGAATCAGAAACAGAAAATACTCAAGAACAGAAAGTGGTTGAACAAAAAAATGACGCTAATACTTTCATGGGACAGAACATTTGTTCTCCAACCGCTTTTACTTGTATGTCTTCCTTTATAAGAATATCGTTATCATTTTTTTAATAATACAATGGTCAAATTACCATCTAGCATAATTTTATGTTCATAATTTTTTCGAATGACAATTATGGCTTTTTATTCAATTATTTCGTATTAAAATGAATAATAAGGATAAAATGTTTTAACCAAAAATCTATTTTCTAGAAAATAAATTAACTTTTTATGGAAAGCGCGGTCTCAATTAATTTAATTTATTTATTAGTGAAGCTATCCAGTATAGCTTTTCTCCTTGCTAATATTCTATTTTTCATCCTTTCAAACCAGGAATTACATAGAATACTTAATCTTTTAGTTTCAAAACCATCATCTACAGCGCCATCTACCGTATTCTCTAAACCGATCGCTGATATGACAAACATGTTCAACAAACTGGAACAAACCGTACCAAAACAATCCGAAGAAACCGGTGAACCGGAAACTAGGTCCCCTAAACCTAAGGAAGATAAACCGATGACTAATATATTCAGCATGAAACCATTGAGCAACAAGAACCAAAATGTACCCGACCTAGTGAAGAGCCCCGGTTTTGGTAAGGACGATACTAAAGTAGAGGAAAAATCCAAAGAAAATTCTGCGCAGAAACCTGTTGAGAACAAAAATGAATTGAAACCAACTGTCGCTCCCATGACCAGCAAGCCGCCAGCGCAATCTGTCATTGTCGGTACGTGAAAGTTATATAGCTAACACCACCAATGAGATAAATTAAATTATTAAATAAGATCTTTTAGTAACTTTATTTTATTTTATTACAGTTGATCTTAAAAAACCAGCTGCTGAAGCCAAAGTTGAAAAATTTACGCCGGCCATATTCAAAACAGATGAAGCGTCTTCTTCAAAGCCTGGTATTGAAAATTACGTTTAAATTTTAATGTTATATATATTAATAAGGATTTTTTTAAAGTTCATGTTGTTTCAGAAACCACTACGAAAGCTGAACCAATATCTACCCCAGCTGCCGAAGATTCAAAACCACGATCTCCTGCCGCCTCTGAAGCCAAACCTGTTTTTGGAATTGAACCTAAGACTAAAACTAAAGAAACAGATTCTGATAAACCAGCAGATTTAACTGTAACTAAATCTGATACTGCTACAGTGGCTACTCCTGTGTCTATTTCGACAATATTTTCCTCACCACCTAACGTGACTGTTACTTCTTCTGTGGTCTCCAGTACTTCTACGTCAATATTTAACACAACGACCACACAATCTAGTTTTGGCAATAAGCCCTCCGCATTCGCTCCAAACACAGCCTCCTCAGTATTCGGGTCAGCTTCAGCATCTGTTTTCGGGACTCAAGCGCCCTCTTTTGGAACTGCAAATGTATTTGGCACTACTGCTGCTCCAACTTCTACCACACAAAGCATCTTCGGCGCCTCTACTACGACTACTTCAAGTATATTTGGTACTACAACTACCACACAGAGTCTATTCGGCGGAACAACGTCCGCACAAAGCATATTCAGCGCTGCTGCTTCTAAATCTCTATTCGGAACAACCCAACCGAACGCTAACATCTTTGCTGCAACAACACAAACAACCGTGTTCGGTTCAAAGCCGTCTGTTTTTTCGTCTACCAGTTTCGGGTCATCAACCCAACCGTCTATATTCGGTGCTCCCACATCACAGCCCTCAGTATTCAGTACTCCTGCTACAACACAAACTTCAGTGTTCGGTACACCAACAACAACTCAGTCGTCTGTATTCGGCTCGCCTTCAACTACGCAGTCATCAATTTTTGGTACACCTACAACACAAGCTTCGGTATTCGGTTCACCAACAACAACACAGACTTCGGTATTTGGGACACCAACAACAACCCAGCCGTCAGTTTTCGGTACACCTACCACCCAAACATCAGTGTTCGGTAGTACCAATGCATCCCAAACCTCAGTATTTGGGAGTCCAACAACTACCCAAAGCTCTCTATTCGGAGGTGCCGAATCTAATTTGTTTGCGGCTGCAAGTATTTCGACTACCAGCGCTCCATCGCAAGCTAGCGGGGGAAATATCTTTGGAAGGTTATAACCTATTTATTATACTACATTATTGAGAAGTTTTTCAAATATGTGTCACTCAATTACGCAAAAAGTAGTGAAAAGATTCTATTTTGATATAGTATTTAGATATTCTTTTGTACTATTCTATGTAGCGCTGTAAAGGTTTGTATTCATAAAATACACAAATTTTCAAAAAAAAATTAAAATATGTTAGCTAAGTCATTAATATAATTTTATCTTTCATACGTAACTTAGTATGTATGATTTTTTTATTTATAATCATTAATGAAGTTTCTTCTGTATTCAATATACATACACAAAGAAACCACTTTCTGTAAGATGACTACAGAAGTTAAATCTGCATTGACGCTATACTTTTTGTAGCAAATTAGATGATTTTTTATAATCAATAGTTAAAAAAAACCGAGTAAAAAATATGTACATTTTTTAACACCTTTGGTTGCATATTGGATTTATAGTAAGTGACAATCACTTTTTTATGATAATTATAGCCTATAGCATTTCTTAAATACTGAAAAAAAAATTCAAATCGAACTAGAGGTTCCTGAGATTAGCGTGTTCAAACAAAAAGAAAACAAACTCTTCAGCCCTGTTTGATTTTTATATGCTGAAATATATATTTTTTATCAGTTCCTCGGGATCAGTATTCGGTAGCAACACTTCCAACGTTTTCGGTAAACCAGCATTCGGCACGTCTACCTTCGGACAAAAACCAGCCACAGATTTTTGGAGCGGCGGCGATAAAACTAACAGCGGCTTTGGAACTTCCACCTTTGGTAATAATACATAGGACACTCACAACATTGAATATCCTGATTGTGTTTTTGTTTGAAAAACTCCATAAATACTCTACCTTGAGTGTATCAATAGTTTCAAGTTTCATATAAATCATTGGCAAAAAAGTTCTAACTAGAAATAACTAAAATGTTACACATTTGATTCTCTTCTTATAAATAAAAAAACAAGCTAGAATCTGCCACTCAGATATTCAATTGATGCTATCCAACAAATTCATAATGAACTTCTCTTTACAATATTATTTAAACGTTGTCCTAGTAGCAAGAATTCTATCTATTAATACTTAAATCATTTAAAATTTTAAATGAAACTAATATTTTCGGATTATTACGCGTTATTTTAGTACTTTTAAAAACTTTTAATCTTGATGTTTGGGTTACTTGGCAGCAACTTTTCCGAATATATGAATTTAAATGAATACTCGCGAAAGTCTTAGATCTAATTCTTAAAACATTTGTTTATAACCGAAAAAAAAATCGTATACATTTTTAATAGAATCAATTACCGTTAATTAACCTGAATGTAATAGATTATAGATATTTTCCGTATTATTCTTTGTCAGCTTTAATAGATGATTGTTATCAAATATCCATTTCATCCATCCAGGTCAACAACCAACCACCCAACCATCTATATTCGGTACAGGCACCTTCAGTGCTCCAGCTACAGGCAGTCCATTCACCCCGGGGCCTTTCAGCGGAGAAAAACCCTCTGTTTTTGGGACCCCTAATCAACAACCAGGTAATTATAACAGTATTTGGTGTGAATTTACATTAATTAGTCTCTAACAAAAAAAAATTTCAAGAACATCGTAGGTAAATACAGTTTTCTGAACGAAAATTTATGTATTACAGATAGGACATTTTTCGAGTGTGTAATTTTTTTTTTTTTGGGAACGTCATATGATGGTTAAAAATAAAGAAATCATCAAAATTTATAGAGTGGAATATCCAAAAGTTATATAATAATATAAAAAATAGCTTATTTTTATGCTGGTTATATATAGAATGTAATGTAATGTTACATGTAGAAAGAACTGCTTAAGTTACTTGGTAAAACGATAAAGTAATATGATCGTAGATAACCCATTGTAAAGGTTTCTATCTCTTTGCTACCTTTACTTAAGTAATTTTTTTATTACCAAGACATGGTGTAAGTTTATCCTGTAAATAATGAAATTAACACACATGCACACACACACATATACAATCGCACACATACACACGCACGAACACACTCATATGTATTGTTGTATAATTATATTTAAAGTACCGTTTTATATATACGTCATCAGCCTATCAGAGCTCACTGCTGAGCAAAGGACTCCTTCTCACATGGAGAAGGTTTGTGCATTAATCACCACGCTTGCTCAAGACGGGTTTATGATTTCAAACTTATAATTGTGAAACTATAAGTCCAGGTTTCCTCATGATGTTTTCCTTCACCGTAAGTCAATGGTGTCTAAATACTCTCAGAAATTACATTTGACTCCGAAAAATCACTTTGGTACTTGTCAGGTTTGAATCCGCGCCCTTGGCAACGAGAGGCGGGCCCTTTAAAAACTAGGCCACAGCTGACTTTTAATATAATTATACAAAAATACATTGTTAAAATAAAATAAAAAGCAAATCGATAAATATCGTTCTATTTTATGTTATGTTTAAGTTATTTTTTATAAAATAATATTTATTTAGCTCCTGCATTCGGCGGATCGCCAGTTTTTGGATCAAAACCAGTTTTCGGAGGATCCCCTAGGTAAGTTTCACTTATAATATTACTAGTATTTGAAAGACTGCCGTAAATATGGCAATTTATTAAGTTACAAATCATGATGTTATACAGGATGACTGGTGAATTACTATCAATATTTAAGGAGAATACTCGGTACATGATTCTCATTCGAATTATGTAAAAAAAATAGGTAGTTAATTTTTGACCAAATTTCCGTATAAATAAATAAAGTGTGGACACGTTCCAAGTGTTCCAAGTGTGGACGCGTGCGGCGGCGTGCTGATACAACAACACGCCGCCGCGCGCGAGTGTGTGTGTGTGTGTGTATACCTAATCTGTAGGGTGTTCATACGATGCGTAATTAATTACATAACTTTTGATTAACTTTACTTAGAAGTTTATTAATATTTATGTTATATTAATTTTTATTCTGTCATATATGATCGTCAAATATCACGTCCTCAAGTATCGATAGTAATTCACCAGTCACCCTGTATATATTTACTTATTTTATTTCATTCTACGCAAACCCAGCAACAACGATTGTCAATAAATTGTTCGTACACTTGTGTAACAAATAATTAAATGCAATAACTGAAAACATGCTAGGAAGTCTTTTATGGTTAGTCATATTTTCTTATATTTTCATATCTATAATAAACACAAACTAATAAAAGATCTATTTCCTAGTTTCGGTGCATCTACTTTCGGTTCCGGTTTCAATAAGAGTCCCAGCAGTGGTTTCGGTGCACCGGCGACATTCGGTGGCGGCTTCGGTTCCACCGCCTTCGGAGGCTCCTCGCCAGGGAAAATGTTTGGAAACACCAACACTGGTAATGAATAAATTAACTTGCATTAAGAAATGTGACACATATGTATATATCTTAATTATCATTCAAATTGTTTTTACTTAACATATTTTTTTCACAATTAGTAATTGTTTAGTGTTTAATTTATTACTAATTGTAAAAAAAATACCTTCAAAGTCGTTAATTTAGAAAATATTTCAGCTCAAACTTTCTTCTGATAATATGTTTCCAATGTAGATACGCGCAATTATCTAATGGTAGTTATGCGAAATTGCACTATCCCCGACGATATATCATTTATTTATTTCTTCTTGTCTTGTTGTGTGATATTGGCTGTATAAGCACAATGCATAAGAGCATTAAAATTAATTTTATTATGTTTTATATAGGTTTCGGCTCTCCATCTCAGCAATCGAATTCGACATTTGAAAACCTAGCATCACAGAATACATTGACGTTTGGTAACTTGGCGCAACAATCAGGACAATCGCCAACACAGCCGCCGAGCTTCAACACGTGAGATTAATATAAAATTTATTCGAAACTTATTTGCTCTGTATTTTCGTTACCTTGGTTACTTCAAATTAATTTCAACGTCAATTTAAAAATAGTTATATTATGTCATTGAAACTCAAATATATTTTTTAAATACATATGTACAAAAAACGGATTGACTATGAAGTAAGATTTATATTTAACGAGATTTTTCACCAGTTTTCATACATTATGAAGATTATCTAAATATGTACTTAATATTATAATACTCTTTTCAGAAAAAAGTCTTAGATATTTACTATTTTTTTAAATATAACGAGACAAGTTGAATTTTCCCGTGTTCATAGAAATTTAGATATTACATACATAAAATTAATTGAGCAGATTGTAAAGATTTTGTTTGACTAAAAATCTAATGTTAGTTATTTATTAATTAATTTAGATAACATGTAATACTATACATTACACTATATATTATTTACTATATTTTTAATACTTAATATTAATCTTTTTGTTTCTTCTCAGTTCCCCGTCGTTCACTGGCTGGCGCGGTTAATTAACGAGTTAATCTACGAGTGGCGCAATTATACTTATATATTTAAGACTATTTAATCACATTTTTATTGTAAAACTTTTAAATCGTGCTATTCTCATGTATGTGTTTATTCATGTAACAAATAAAGGTAGAATTAGATATACTGTTTTTTATTCATTAAAAAACTTTTTTTTCATTCGTTACGAATGCCAGATAGGAAAAAGCAAATTGCAATATTTAGGTCGCACGGAAAACTGTTCGGGGTTTCAATTTCCGCAAAAAGCAATTCCATTAAGATATAACTCCCGACTGCTCGCCAAAATTCACAAAGCTATTTATTTAGTATATACATATTTATATTTCATTAGTACAACAAACTAATTTGGCTGCACTTTTGTATGTATATCAGATAATTCAATAAAATTTTAATAATATAAAGACTTTGGTTTTAATCTTTTATAAAACGGATAAATAAAGAATTTGTCGAAAGCATCATTGTAAATGTTTAAATTACAAACGTAAGAAATTCTATTAATCGATGTCACATTTATTGGATAAAGTTTAAGAGAGGTTAATAAAAACGAATATATTTTGAAATATATATATATTTTAAATTACGATTAAACAAACAGCTTTATTTCAGTATCTACACTATAATTCTTAGTAATTTATAGTTCTCTTTTGTAGTTTTCTTGGCAAAGTGTAATTTTGAAGTAATGTTTCCAATCAGGAAGGTGTTCGAACATCGGAGTAATTGTAACAAAGACTAATGTTCTAATTCCCTTAACTGCTGCAGCTTTGTTTTATTACGCCATCTTGTATTTCTCGCCAGCACTTACTTCCTTTCTTTGTTAAAGATTTTTGGTTTGCCTAGTAACTTAGGGTTCCGCAACGAATAAAATAGACTTTACTTCCTGGGACAACAATTTTTATCTTTATCGATTATTTTATTTAATTCTATTCAAAATATAGGTATAGTTAAAGGCAAGGTGTTGTTGAAACTGTTAATAACTTAGTATCTTTCATAGTAACAAATATTTCATAAAACAGATTACCTTATTTAAAAATCTGTTTATTTATTCATTGGCATATGTTTAAACAATATATATTAAAATTAATACTTGCAAGCCATAATATGATTCAAACGATAGTTTAAACAAAAATATTGTACAAGAATATCACCTTCCATCTACATTTTTAATTTTATAAAAAAAAATAAACATTATATTTAAAAATAAACATTAATTTAATTTTATTCTTGTACCATCTTCTTGCCAAAGCGGAAGTTTTAAATCAACTTTAACGAGTTGGTTACAAAAACTTTTTACATTCATTGTGCTGAGTTCCTGAACCTCATATAAATAAACTATCTCTATATATTCTGTGAAGTATACGTTGTACTATTAAAATAGTTTTGAATTGATTGTCAAATTTGTCATATATAAGTATGTACACAAAGTTTCATGATACATATACAAGAAAGTCAATGAGACATCTTAGGAAACCCATGAAAATACTGAAGATTAATCAATAAATTTTAGTATGTATTGAGTTTTGTTTTAAGATGTGTAACTACTTATTATTCTTCTTTGTGGGAGGTACTTACTGACGCCCATGGACGCCCTCTTTTGTTGCAGATGTCCATCGACGATGGTAACCAACCATCAGTTACGTCTAAGTAGTCCCCTCATTTGTCCCTTCGGGATATAAGAAAACAATCCTGTCAAAGACCCTTGGTCTGAATTAAGAGTCCAGTTTTGTGTGGCGCTGGCACGAGGTACGGATGTTCCCCTTATATGACTCACAGTTGCAGGGTGATCCTACACCCAATGTCAATGAAACATGCTCAACCTCAAAACAGACTTGGCTGATGTAGGACAGTTCATTGTACACATCAACATCCCGGGAGAGGAATGAGAGAGAAAAAGGAGACCACATTAACACGCTCTCTCACTCATCGGACGAATCTCTGCCTTTATAAACTACGTCACGCCGATCTTCTGTGAGAGGATTGTATTTCCCCGGTCCCCCAAAATATAAAGTTTAAAAAGAATATGTCAGCAAGATATATAGTAATTAATAAATATATCAAAAATAATTTAAATAAATATATAAAATGGGCAGTTGTACTTATTACTTGCTACTTGCTAGTAGATGTATTTAATCCTTTTTGTAGCGTAAAAATATTTCTGATGAAATAAATGTAGATTAGTGGTTAAAGGACCCGCCTCTCGTGCAAGAGGGCGCGGTATCGATCCTGGCAAGTACCAATTTGATTTTTCCGAGTCATATGCATTTTTTAAGAGTATTTAGACACCACTGACATACGGTGAAGGAAAACATCATGAGGAAACCTGGAGTTATAATTTCACAATTATAAATTTAAATTCAACTACCCGTCTCGAGCAAGCGTGGTGAATAATGCTCAAACCTTCTCTATGTGAGAACGAGGCCTTTGCTCAGCAGTGGGCTCTGATAGGCTGATGAGGAAATGTACATTTCATGTATTTAATAAGAAATTGTTTTTTTTAGGGTATTAGTGCGGCCCTAGTATTTCTGTTCAGGTGATGCTGCGGAGAATAAACTTTATCCCATCCAAAATAATAATTTAGTGTCTACATATTTGTTAAAAATATATATACTTGAGTTTTAAGAGCATAGCTGTTCATTCAGTATTCATACATTGCTCACAATTATAATTTAAAGACATAAAATAACGGACATTCAACCATTTATTCAGCACGAAAATTGTTTTGTTGTCGATTTCAGTACTTTAGTCTACATCATAGTGAACGCTTTTATAAAGACGATTATGGTATGGTAACTTTTGACATTTGTAGCTGACTTAAGACTTTTGTGAAAATACTTCAGATTTCTCAATAAAATATACATGTTATTAATAAATTCAGACAGAAAATAGCAAGTAATATACGGTATAATAACTTAATAGTAGAATTAAAGTAAAAATGTAAATGAATTAAAAAGTAGACATTGAGTGCGATGCATTGTGTTGTGTTCTATATCTAAATTACATAAAAATGTCTTGGTTGTTATTAAGCACATTCTGTTTATTGTTTTATTCGACATACTGTGCAACTGATGACACTAAAACTGATAATGTGGTAGTCGACTGCAGTACTTTAAGAATGGGTCAATATATCTGTCCTGACCCAAATCAAAATCAAATAGATTCTGCTACTCAACAATACGTTGGTTGCACCAAGGGAAAAGATGTTCCCTCAGAGGGAGAAGCAAATGGTGAGAAATATATAAAATATTAAAGATAATGTTTAGTAAAGTTTACCTTAAAAGAATGGTTTATTAAAATTTCAGTTTGGTGCATAGCAGCTGATAAGATTATATGTAATGAAACAAAAAATTCAACATTTTATAAGAAAATGCCATGCAAATGGACGTAAGTTTTTATTTATTTTCATACTTAAAATAAAGTAATAATAAGATATTAATATAAAGATGTGGATATTATATATTAAGAAATATTATTTATATTATTTTTTTACAGAAATGGCTATTCTTTAGAGATAGCATTACTATTGTCAGTGTTCCTGGGTATGTTTGGCTTGGATAGATTTTATCTTGGTTATCCTGGTATTGGACTCGCAAAGCTGTGTACACTTGGATTTATGTTCCTTGGGCAATTGCTTGATATAATTCTAATAGCAGCACAGGTATTTTCACCCAAATTATATTTATACCACAGTTTTTTGAGAAATATGTAACAGTTATATAGTAATTGTAGACTGTAACAAAGTTATATTCAGTATAATAGATCTTAAGTGCTTGCGTATGCATACAATAAAGGCTTATATTTTGCAATATCTGGCTTGCCAAGCAATATAGCTTATGAAAAACAGCATATATTCATAGTCCTCAAACCATATTTCCCATCTATAAAAACAAGTCTTATTATTATATACAAGACAGTGTCTTTATTATTTTGAAAAAGCTAATTGGTAATATGTTTAGGTTGTTGGCCCGTCGGATGGATCTGCATATGTGATACCATACTATGGTGCTGGTGTAACTGTTGTCCGAAGCGACAATGAGACATACCTCCTGCCACAAGCAGACTGGCACAACATCACCTGACAGTGGGGAACAATATCCTTTGAAGTGGATGATGATTATGAATGGACATAAATCACAAATAGTGACTGATAAGTGTAAAGTGTAATAGCAAAACGGATTGATAACTTAATGTGCATATAAGTGTAAACATGTTTATTAGAAAAATATTAGAACATTTTAAATAAATTCAGGTGAAAACATTTATTTATAGATGCAAATATCTAGTTCAAGGTTGAAATGTAAATAAAACTGATGTATAAATATGTTATAACACTAAATAAATGAATGTGCATTTAAAATGTTTATTTATTTTCATTTTTAACAATGTCCGTTTCATACAGTGATACATCAGCGGGGGGTGCTATTAGTGTGAATATCACAGGTATATTTGCTAATGCAGGATTATCATGTTTCTCCAACAATCTTATCCACGATAATAAGGAATCTCTTGACGAAGTTCCTGCAATGATAATAATATACATTTCTTATTTTAAAACATTCTTCTCTTGAATATTATGTTAAAAGATATCTAACATCATGTATGACAAGTTAAATTAGTAATGCATTAAAAAGTGTAGTGATTTCTGCTAACATTTTTTTTAAAAGCCATTCCTTAAAAGTTGCCTGACTGACAAAATATTATCTACAATTTAAAATACTAAAATTTATAGCAATTATAATATAGAGGATTATTTTATACAGCCCATATGCTTTAAGTAGCCTCGGCTAAATGTGAACAACAAACTAAAATACTAACATTGGTAGCAATTATATGTATATAGGATTGAATTACTAACCAGTTGCGCATACAGCTACTATAGTTCCATCATCTTGTTCATGTACTGTACATTTTACTTGTGGTAATGTCACTTTACCTATAACACCCGGTATACCAATTGGTTTTTGGATTTTAGATACATCTGGAAGGCAGTAAAATTGTTCATAATTAATTATTCGTAAATATTACATACCTGAGCGATTGTACAAAAATAATGAATGAAAACTATACCATCTGTATCAGTATTATCTTGATATTCCGGTCTTGTTTTTCCCAATAGAAGGAAGTATGTAACTACTTGGTCCCGTAGATAGACATTAAAGGGTCCTTTTATCACCAGAGGGATATCTGGAGGTTGTTCTGCTAAAAGAACTTTTTGTATTCTGCTCTGGGCGCTTACAATCCATGTCTTGTCTATCGAGGCTTCTATTTCTTCTGTCTGACACAAAATATTACTAGAAACACTGTGTTCAAGTATATAGTATTCAATTGTATTTAAGTGAAAGATTAAGTGCAAACAATACTTCATAAAATAAACATAAATAAGTGTCAAAAATTTTACCTGCCACACATCTATTTTAGTGTCTGGGTCCACAGAAGTTATTCTCTGAATCGCTAGATTTGCTAATTCTAATGTATTGTCAGGGAGTGTATCCGGTAATGCCCATGGGGACAAATTCTTAAATTTTGGCATCCAGTACATCATTCTCCAGTACTTTCTTAATGGTATTCCTCTACGACCAAAAATGTTTAATAACATCTGTTCTAGTTCAGAGTCCGGCATTACACCTAGGAAGAGAATGAAATGATTATAGAAAAAAACGATGACTTAGGGCCTGATTGCTATTTTATGATTTTACCATTATTTTCCATTTGTTCTAATAAATCTACAGCACATTGCTGCTGTTTAGGATAATGAAGAAATTCAGCTTGAAATATATTGACAGGAATAAATTTTCCTTTTGGTAAAACATCAACTAAAGCTTTGTACACTTCTAAATCTTTTTGGACACCAAATTCGTTCATTCGGGATAAAGCAGCATAAATAAATTCAACATGACCCCTTCGTCTAGTGTCCTGATCTTCGAACATTTTTATAACCTCCAAATAAGTCTGTTTCGTCTTCTTAGGTTTATTGACAAAGGGATCATAAGTCACCACTTTTGTTTCTGAAGATTTAAATCTTCGTAAATTTATGTTAACTGTTCTAAATCTCAAAATATTTCTAGTTATGTTAACATTCATTTTCACTTCTATGGATAACAACACAGCCAAATATTCTTTCAAACTGAAATTAAGAATTTTCACATATTTTTAGTGATCAATATCTTTTTACTAAATTTAAAGTTGACGAATAATAATATTATAAGGTTATAACATTTATTTCTAAAATAACTTTTGAAGTTTTTAATGTTGTGTAAGGCTCTGGTTTTTGTAATACAGCCAGCAAAAAATCATGAGTATATCACGGATTTTATTTTAGACAAAAAAAAGCTATTGATAGCATACGTGAGTTAGTGTTAGTATTCACTTGTAATATAATATTAAATGTGATAAAAAGTTTTAACTAATCTATTGTAACAGGGATAATTCAGTAAACTTGAACGCATTTATAGTTGGTCTTCATTCATGCTATGGAAGATAATTTTCGCGGTATTAACTTCCTAGTTCCTTTCATACTTCACAGGTAGTATAACTTTAGTCTTGTTAAAGGGAGGTCGTATTCGCAGTGAGGAAAAGTTACGTATTTAAATACGAAAAGTGATTTTTACTAACCGGGTTAAATAAAACTATTGCAAGTTAAAATTATCGCATATAATTTGATTAATAATTAAGAGCCCTTACAAGGTGAAAGTTAATGTAATTGGATTCTTCTAAAGCGTTCAATTAGTTCTCACATATTTAAACAAGTGGTGTATATGTCTAAAATGATTATATTTGGATTTATTCTTCCGTTACTTTTGCATAATACGGGTGAGTTATTTTAATTATAGCCATTTATTAGTAGGGAAAAATTAAATTTATTTATAATGTGATTTTACATATTACAGTGTTTTAAGCATACATTTCAATATATTATTTTAATAGGCACGTGACAAAATATTCAATGCTTTTACACTTTTCTCGAGACGTAAAACTGTATGTTGGCCTTGAAATATACTACACATAGTATTTAAATTGTAATTGACGTTGTTGTTAGTCAGGTACATTTAAATTGCACACAATTAATTTATTCATATTTAATAATATTATTTGTTTTAAACCATAAGAAACTTTAAATGGAAATATTATTTAGCATTTATTTAGTTACTAGTAATCATTGCTTACTTTGTTCACACATTGTAAGCAAATGAAAGATTAATTCGCTCGCATTTATTTCTTTCTTGTCTCCTAAGCAGATGCATTGATCTAATTTTTGTCTTGTTCATATATACGTCTTCGGGCACGTCTCCAATACGCCCACTATGTTATTTTGTTGATATCTATTCTCAACCATCTTATTATTTTACTTACAAAATATATAATAATTACAGGTGTTTAACTAATGTAAACAAGATACGTAGTTATTACGTATAAATTTCGTTTAAATATATTTTTTAATATTAAGATATACATAGTTTCGTAAATACTTATTTTTGTTTTATCTCATAAGAATAAATTATATATTGTGCTGTTCATTTCACTTGTTCTATTTTTTATAGTGTTTAACGGAATTATAAAGCGGTAAAAATTATAGGTATTAGAATTTTTGTATTCGATTTATATGTATAATTTTTCGCATTAAGCGCCATTGAATAATACTTATATTTAATTTAATTTATATATATGATAGTAACTTTAATTGTGTACTAAGAGATAAACTAGCAAATAGGAACCAGGAAACGTTATCGTGAGAGGAAAACATTTGTGCCTAGCGCCTAAAATTAAATTGGTAAAATCTTTATCTTCTATATATGTATATAAAAATGGATTGCTGTTCCTTAGTCTCGCTAAAACTCGAGAACGGCTGAACCGATTTGGCTAACTTTAGTCTTGAAATACTCGTGGAAGTCCAGGGAAGGTTTAAAAGGTGAGAAAAATTGGAATAATTGCCGGGAAAAAATCCTAAAAACAGCCCTTTTCTATTTCCCATACAAACGTTTTTTTGACATTAGATTTGACAACTAACTAATATGTCAATCATTCTGTTTGATTGAAACAGGAAAAACCTGATTATTTATGGCCTCTAAAACGGAATAGAGTTCGCCTGGTCAGCTATACCTACATATATTACTCTTGACCAAACTAACGCGGACGAAGTCGCGGGCAAAAACTAGTACTATATATAATTCTTCTATGAGTGTGTATGTCACTGAACTTCTCTCAAGCGACTGGACCGATTTTGATGAAATTTTTAGTGTGTGTTCAAGGGGATCTGGGAATGGTTTAGATTCACAGTTTTGTCCGCTGGACAATGTTTTTTTAATTAATTTTTAATTTATTAGTCGTTGTTGATACAAACATTTTTTTGACATTAGATTTGACAACTCACTAATATGTCAATCATTATGTCGCACTTCAAAACACCCAGATTTATGGATTTAATAGGTAAACTCCAAAAATATAAATAAAAAAACGTAACAGTTATTTCTTATTTATAGGGCGATACGAAGTTCGCCGGGTCTTCTAGTTATTATATATAAATTTGTTTGTAGATTTTAAATTATTTTATACATTATAGCGTCATGTTACCTTATATTAAGTAACATATTCAAGTATTTTGACTTAAGTATAAACTTTATATTTGACCTATGTACATATCACTACATAAGTGTACAATATTTCCAAATACTACAAGTGTATGCATCTAATTTTATTTAGTATCTCAGAAAGTTAAAACAAATACTGTCAAGGATACAAAATACGTGTTTATTTAATCAAGATAAGTACATTTTTCTTATAATGTATTTTTACAGGTGTGTAAAACAGTTGTATGATCACACAGTACATTTCATAATCATTATAAAAGTCATAGTTTTGGTATTATCATTAGTCTGTGTGCCATTTGTTCATTTATGATATATCGCTAGTTAACCAGTTTAAATAGTTTGTCTGATCATACAAGTGATCTACGATACCATACAACCGCTAATTTGTTTATCCAATATTATATGGTTTAAATTATGACCGGATATAAATCTAGCGATGATTCGTTATCACCATCACCGGCTAAATAAAATATGGGTCATTACGCACACAGGGGAGTATTGTGGGGCGATAATGGCGGTAGAATTCGTTCAAGTTGCTATGAAATCAACCGTCCGTACAAAAACTTGTCCCATCTGACTTGTATGACAAATGACCTAACGTTTGGAAACGTCGCTGAAATGGCCGAATTGCTCCGAAGACATTTAGGAGTTAATGCTTTTGAGGGATTCACTTGGGAGTAAAGGTTTTATATAGATAAAAGGATGTGTCAAACCCCCGTTACGATTGTTTGTTGATCTATCGACTATATGACATTACGTGAATAACTTTTACTTTTTAATATGATAATTTTTTAAATAACTTCTTATATAATACTTAAAATAATTATAATTCCTTTATTCTATATTAAATGTATTCTTTAATAAATATAAGTATTATCGAATGAAAATATTTTATACAAGTTTGATATAGATACTGCAAATGTTAATAACGCTCATCAATATCCCAAAATTACTTTTATATTCTTGCTTGAATACTGTATTGTACTGCGGATTTTCCATTACGTGTAATGAATACTATTTATTCGGCAATTTTATCAAAAGATTTCTTCATAAATAAAGCTATATTCGTGTGTATTTTAATCATAATTTGAATTTACGAAGGAATTTTCAAGTTTTGCTCTTTGGATGTTATTATAATTTTAACAAGAATAATTATTTCAATTCTATTTAAATTATTGAAATAAGCATCATTTTTTGGTATTCTATCTGTGTAGGCTTACAATGAAAAATATTTCTCCCTAACCTTCTTACTTTGTGTTTAGAGCAATCTTTTCTATAACGAAAACTCGTAGTGCAAATGTAAAACAATTGTTTTTTGTTATCTTCGTCATGTATAATTTTTTATTACAAACTAGTTTTTGCCCGCGACTTCGTCCGCGTTAGTTTGGTCAAGAGTAATATATGTAGGTGTAGCTGACCAGTCGAACTCTATTCCGTCTAACAGGCCATAAATAATCAGGTTTTTCCTGTTTCAATCAAACAGAATTGACATATTAGTTAGTTGTCAAATCTAATGTCAAAAAAAACCGTTTGTATGGGAAATAGAAAAGGGCTGTTTTTAGGGTTTTCCCGGCAATTATTCCAATTTTTCTCACCCTTTAAACCTTCCCTGGACTTCCAGGAGTATTTCAAGACTAAAATTAGCGAAATCGGTTCAGCCGTTCTCGAGTTTTAGCGAGACTAAGGAACAGCAATCCATTTTTATATACATATATAGAAGAAGAAGATAATGTATAACTACCATTAAAACTAATTTTAATTGTCTTATATAATTCCAGAAATTCAGTATTTTTCATCAGTATATGTACATATTTTTATTTTACAGATTAACCTTATGATATAAAGAACCAGTTATAAGTATATTACTCTTTTTATTTCTTAGTACATTCAATTTATAATATATCTTTTAAAACCGTTCAACCATATCGACTTTGTAACACTGAATTTCATAGTAAATTCAACGAGTTACTTACTGTCCCTAACCATGGGAATGTAAAATGTTTACTCATATTACAACTGTTTAAACTAAAATATAGCTTCAAATTAATATTTCGTGTATTTAAGTTAACAGCTAATACAGTTACAAGAACAGAGCAAGATATTTAGGATGAAATAGCTTTGAAAACACTAAATCATTTATATAATAGACAGAGTTTTTAAACATGAAGCTTAATTCTCTTTGAATATACCAATGTTTGTATTATATTTAACAGAAACTGCCAACATTTTGAATTCATTCATTCGTTACTATAAGTAAAGCTACTTAAGTTATCTATTTATACTTACATATTTTACTTATAGTTCAGGAATGATTTGAAAACTTCGGTGCGTTAAAGTGTCAAATGAACACTATGGCCCTTTCCCCGAGTCTTCATTATCATCCATTATACAAATGTTTTCGGGGGTTTTATAAATAAAGTTAGTTTTCATACGAAATTATAAATAGTTAAGAATTAAGTAAATTAACATTTTTTTAATAATCGGGCAAACAAATACAAAAGGAACTAGTCATATATGATGTAAAAGATTCTAGCTAAAGCTCAGAAAATGCACTGTTCTTATTGTAATTTATTTTCATTCATATAAACGGCTGTAAGTAATTTTTGTTCACATTTTACATTTTTTCACATTATTCACGACAAAATGAATTTAAATTATCAGTGGTGGTATCAATGTGGGTATTTAGTATAAATAACATGGAATTTCATAATTGATTGTATATAACTATAATTGTTGGTATTATTATTACATATTCATATATTCGTTATTCTATTAAGTCCCTTCTTATTAAATGTTCGTTTCAACTAGCGGAGTTACTAACCGTTTTTATTATGTATACTTTAAGCTGCTTTTGGTTGGTTAAATTCTTGTTTACATTTATCTGACATTGTTCTACATCCGCGCTGAAAACCTAATCCGTCAGATAAGATATACGAGCTCATATGGAGTTTACACTAAATGTCAAAAAAAATCACAACGTACAAGATAATAGTAACGATATTAATGTATGATAATAAAATGGAATTATCATAAAATGTTTTGAAAAAGCCTCGAGCTTTATAGAACGTAATTTTTTTAAGATCTATTTATATTTTTTAATACATTTAATGAAGGCAATTTAATAAGAGGACGAATTATTACTGGCAAAAATTCGTTATTCAAGGTTTAATAATCTAACATTATTCCATAACTTATAGTTTTTGATGTACCGCTGCAAATATCGAACGTAAAAGTTCGCTTATGGGAACGTAACACTCTGAAGAATTAAAAATAATGAATTATTATTGATAGTTTTCGCGATCTATTGATTTATAAAGCGTATTAGTCCATATATAAATACATTTTTTTTGCATTTTAAAATAAACAATACATAAAAACTTTAACTGTAAATGAAATGAATTGTTGAAAAAATATTTCTTTACACACAAACTTTATTCAGTGTGAATCATATGAAAAAATATTCATAAATAATTTGATCAGCTTGCAGACTAATCTTAAGCACTTCAGATTCGAGAAGGAATTAAAATCTGCTGAACAATCAAATACACACGCACACACATATACATATGTATATAATATAAAAATATTATCCAACTCATTAATTTGAATGAAAATGTGCGCTTTGATAACAAAATAACTAATTACGATTTCAGCTTTTCAATTTGCATGAAGGGAATGATAATAATTGATAATTACTAATTTAACAGATATATACATGGAAATAAAAAATCTATTAATGGGTTGAAGTTTATTCAGCAAATAAACGTTATTACTAATTGTACGAACACATTTTATATCATAAAGATTAAAGCAATTTACGTTTGGTATCAAATGAAAAGTTTCGGTATAAATTACAGCGTTCTGATCCGGTTGCGATTCTGCGGTAAGGGATTATCCTTTTCGTGACATCAGATTCGCAACAAAATACTTGTTTTCACCTTAAAATTTGTAATAATATCATTAATTATATTGTCTACTATGTTTTGTAAACATTATCGTTAAATATTTATTCATTTGACGTGTAGATATATCGGTACATTAAATGTATGTAATTGCATGACATCGATTATGGAAAAAGGTTTTGAATAAAACTTATATTAAAATGACTTTAAATTTATAAAGAATGAATATTTATTTTAACCAAATATTTATATCGAGGCAGCCTATACAATATCTATCTTCGACTACAATAAAGTAGCCACGTTTTGTCTATTCATAATAAAGGTTTTTATTATTCATTTCTTGTAGAATATTTTAATGTTATTTTAAGTTGAAGTTAAACTTTAAAGCAAAAAGGCACCCATTTCTTATGAACTTCGACATTATGGTACTGGAAACCTTATCCTTTCCCTTCTCTAAATCTAGACAATTCCATGTCGTCTTCCCGTGGTTGCTTTGCTTTGTATGCTTGAATGTTATCGTCTAGATATAAAGTTTTATTCGTAGCTCTATGTATTTCTTTCAACGATCAGGGATGTAGATCGCTTGTTATCTAAGGCCGAAAAATTAACTTGATATACTTAGATGAAGTTTATCGCCCGATGATTCTTTATGGCGAAAATTTTGTGGCTGCAAATTAAAAATTTAATTCAAAACTAAAGTTTCATCATATCTCGTTTAACACAAACAAAACATTCGTAATTTATAACAAGTTAAAGAGTGAAATACAACATTCTCCAGGATAGAGTATTGTTTGTTTCTCAAAACATGACGTTGTTAAGGATAGATGTATCTTTTTCCTTTGGAAATGGAAAAAGTAGTTAAAAGAGTTAGTGATGATAGTCCATTATCTCTTTTCTTTGAGGTATGCTACTTAAATAAGATTACCTCATTTAAGACGTTTTCTCATATCGATCAGCTAGATCATTTCATAAAGTTTCGTTTGGTTTTATTTGTATTTTTTTCTGTTTCAGAGTACGAAATACATTTTATATTAACGTGATAAATATGATTAAGGTTATGTTTTTCGCCTTGACCAAAATTAACATTAATTCTGTCGTAATACACGTTAGAAGTCGTGAATTATTCATATAAAGAAGAATCTTATTTAGAAGCGCCCAAAAACATCCTGTATTTTAATACGTGTGTTTGAGGCATAAAGCATAAGATTCAAGAATAAAAATTAATTTATCTGAGCTGCAGCCATCATATTACAAAACCTGATTCGACGTTCTGCATAATGTCAAGTTATTTTTGGTTTTTGGAATTCCTTAGTCGTGTAGTTAGACATGTTTTGGCAGTACGTTATTTTACAACATAAAATGAAATTTATTGTATAATTAATGTCACGAAATTAAGTGCAATTAGTTACATTAGAATTGACAAAATGCAATACCAACTGATAGACAATTTCATCTCGTCTGTTCGTGATCACGGTTACTTCAAAGAAGTCGAAACTTCGAGTAAAATCTAGTATAAAAATCGTGAACCTTAACAATCATAGTTTTACTCGTATAATCATACTATCATTTAAAACTTTCAAATTTATAATATTAGACATTTTAAAAGTAACAACATTGAAGTGTTATGCCATGTTATATCGAGAAAAAGCATTTGCTTCGACAATGAATAAGGTTAACTCAGTTAATTAAGTGGAATATGGACATTGCGTCAAGGCGAGTCTGTTTTTCTATGGCATCTGAGATGAATTCAATCATTCAATTGATTCCACTGACCAATGTTTTATAAATTGATCTCTAGGTACATATGGTTTAAGACGTAGTTGTGTGACGTTGGTATTACGCACGCACACATATAAAAATATCGTACGATGTTTGCCATCCAATGAAATCCTTCCATGAGGTGGGCTTGGCTCCCCACCATAGGAATGTGGCGCTGAGAGTGGCACCGTTAAAAATAAACTTGTTTATCATGAGACACATGACGGTGTTTTCGAGGCCATTGCCATGATATCAGTGAAAGGATATGTTTAAAATGTCATCGATGTTTTATTTAAACTTGTTGCTATACCAAATAATTTTATGGTAAAAAATGCGGCCCCGGTTTTTAAATTGCCTCAAAAGGTGCTGTCATTCAAGGTGTTGTGTTACAAGAATTATTAACCTCTGTTTATTTTTATTCGAACGTTTCGAGAGAGAACAAAGCTTCCATGATATGAATTATACTGTGGCAAGAATAAAATGCCAAGATATAAATTTTCCAATCGTTTGTTGTACAGTAAATATTTAGTTGCGCATAGCGTGTAACGATACGAACTAGTGACAGTAATTACCTCATGCCATATCAGATGTGAAGTAAGCCAGTATATTTGCTCAGACCACGTGGTGAAAACGTTTGTATTTCTTCCATAATAATCATAAGCACTAGACAAGATTATAACGAGGGCACTTGAAACAAAATAGTAAAACAAAATGTTAATCTACATTTTAATGAACTGATTCATAAATGATAACTTTGAAACAGCACTACATTTATCATTGATATAATATTGAATTACGTAATCGTAATAGTTAGTTCATGTTAAATATAATGTACAGTACAGTAACAAAACATAGCTGGCGTATAAGAAGTAACAGTGAAACTATACGAAATATATTTAAAATGTTGTGTTTTGAATTCTAAATGCGACGGGCGATGTTCCTACATAATGCGAGATCATTATCGCCCGTGTAGGTAGAACAGAACTCTGCTTTTGTTTGGTACACTTAGGTATGTGTTTTTATCATATCAGATTCTAGGAAATGTAATGATACTACTGAATGCGTTTAATTAAAAACTTTTATATGAAAACTAATATTAAATTGCAACGGGAAAGTTTTTTGATAGGGTGCCTATTTTTTTATTTCATTTATTTTTCATAGTTATTTTTTAATTCTATTTAATTTTTTAAATATATTATCAGTCACATATGTAACTATTATCAAAGGACTTTTTTACGAAATAGGTAGCAAATACATTTCTTAATTATAAATTAATAAAAAAATATATTTATAGTAAGTAACCATTTATAAAACGGATTTGTTTTTCGTCTCTAATATTATGGCCTAATGAAACAATGTTTATTAATGTAACTCTACTATCCCTAATGAAAGTTGTACACAATAAGTTGATTAACTTTGGCTTAAATAATGTTAAACATACATGTTTCAAACTAGTTTAGTTTCAAACAAAAACAGGTTATATATGTAAAAACACATAAAAATTTATATAATTCCGTTTCTACTATATTATTAGGACGTAGGAAACCATAGATCTTGATGCGATAAAAGCTCGAATTATGCATAGAAAAACGGATAATATCACTTTCTTTTGTTATCAGATGCCCTCAAAGGGAATTGTAACAAGGATGAGGATCTGCTCCAGCGATGTTCAATGGCGCTGCCGGTACTCAGTTCTCCGGAAATATCATTTGCATTGACTCGAGAGGAGCTGGATAAAAGTTGTGTGTGAGTGGACCACTTCTTCTACTTTTATTTTAACATTGAAAATGTTTTCTAAGGCTTTCATTATTCTTGTTTTTTTTTTTATTATAATAAATCTCTCTTTTTCCATCATCTTCATCCTGAAATGTATGTTGGGATGAGTTTATAAAAGGTGTTTCAGTTTTATATTACAGAAAGTTACATACGTCCCGGTTGTTTGGCAGTTTAATGTCTTTTACATTTTGAATATAAAAAAATTAAAATAATTATTTGTAATTACTATATTGAAATAACGATTATTTTTTTAATTTCTAAAAGAAAAATCATTATTATTTCGTTTTTCTTCGTCATAACAAAATTTAAAAGCACACTCATTTATTTTAGCGAAGTTGGATAAAGTTTCACCAAGACGGCGTTAGCACCCTCGAGAAACTTTAAAGGAAATGGAACGAAGAACATAGTTAGCTCATCTTAATTTAGTGTTCTTGTTTGCGGTAAATAGCAATTAGAAGCTAGTTGTCCAACTGACTAACTTTACTTGCCACATGATCAGTTCATTAAAAGGCAAGAATCAACTTAGTTTATTATGATGTCAGAGTGATACTTAATCCTAAACTATATTTATTTTCATACAATGTTAATATAGTTACCGAAACTCGTGTCCAAAATTTTTCGACGTTATATAAAATCGTAGAAAAGAATCTAGAGAAAAGGAGAAAATATCTATCGAAAGCTCCTATAATCGGATAAAAAAGTTTAGCGAACTCTTTAGAGGATCAGTAACTTTAGTACAGTTGAGTGTGCTTTCCAAATTAAGAATAAATAGTATATTTGGCTTATATATTCAAAATTCTATGGTAAATTGGTTTTGGGTATTACTTAATATTTCGTATATATTTTTTACTAAACAATTTATAGTAGAGACATATAAAATAATTCCTGCTATTCTAGATATTTCTAAATTTCTACATAATATTTTATTCCACTTCTAGCGTTAAACGTCACATTCCCAACTTCAAGCACAAACAACAATACGTTTAATATATGTATGGTTCTAAATTATCCAAATGCTCTAGAATATCAAATGTTGCAACCGACTAATTCCACAGCATTTTATATACATACAAAGGTATATCTTTTTGAAACGACCAATATTGTTAAAGTGAAGACTAGACGTTGCTAAACATTGAATTTAATATGCGAAAACTTTAGGGATATTTGTTAAGTGTATCAGGACAATAAAGTTAACAGAGGAGAAGATCAGTAGATACATTAAAAAGATTTTAACTATGTAATACAGGTTTACATTGCGGCCTTAAAGTTTATTGTAATATTTTTAAATAATTGTTTAGAAGCAACATATCGCTATGTATATAATATATGGATTTGAAATAAGATAACAGGTGACAGATAATAATTCATCGAAATCATTTATTATACTATAATATTAATAAATATAACTTACCCTAACAACGAAAAATCATAAAGTACGCTTCAGGTTACCTTTTATTCGTTATAAGAGACATCTTCATGCATATCAATTTGTTGCAGTGAGTTGAGAGTCGGCATAAAATGCATCGATAATTATACAGAGGTTTGCATGAAGAAGAGCGAACAGGTGATGTTTAGGAGGACGTATGCTGGTATTATTGACGTCATCCAAGAACTGTGCTCCCGTGGAAAATATCAAGACGAGTACCTTCGTCACGCGGACTGCGTTAAGAAAGTTCGTTCCGAATATGAAGTTTGCAGCAAAAAGTATGAGGTTACATTGACCACGTTAAGCAACTATGAGAAGAAAGACCAGTACCATACAGATCAAACAGATGTCGCCACTAGCCATGAGGATTATTTGAGGACTGTATGTTGGTGAGTTACTTATAAAAATTTTAATACTTTTTCGTGTCTTTAAATAACTGCTTTTTGTTAGTAAAAGACTCCGTTGATACGGAAGTATTAAAAAAATACTACTTAACTTTATATATTATTATTACACATTTATAAACTTTTAAGCCCAAAATTTATTTATGTATTTGTTTTAAATAAACAATCCAATACAAAGTTTATATAAACGAGTTAAAGGCGAATGAGATTTTATAATGATAAAAAAGTTAACGATGCAAAAGTAAATATAATATTTTATTTATTTAACTATTCAATAACATCCGCTATAAGTGCTTACATTTTGAATAACCATTGAATAAAATATATATTTAAAAACAAATTTTATTTGATTGTAAAATAATGAATTTCAACATTATATAATAAGAATTATTTCCGGATTAAAATCTGAATGTTACGTCATTTACAAATGAAGGATGTCCCATTCAATTAAAATTCAGCGAAATTAATCTGTCAAGTAAAGGAACTTTGTGAGATGAGTTCCAACGAAGTACTTTAAATCCAACAAGATCATTAGGGAGCTATTACTTTAAAATTAGTGTATAGGTCTGTTCAGTTTACAATCTATTTTAGTTTATAAATTAAACTGGATTAATCAAATATTTAGTCAATACAGTGATATATATTTTAAAGATTATATTGTATTTAAAATAATATTCTATTATTTATCTTTGAATTGGAAGCTGGTATTGGATTCTCAATAGACCACTTCTACGATTAAGCCCTTGATCTTAAGATTTAGGAACTAGTCAATCGTACCTCTCCTTAAGAAACATTAAACGTTGTTGCTCAACCAATTCTGATTGAAATGCGAGGTTTTACTTACCAGTATATTCTCCTGTTTCGTACCCCCCTTGAGTAGATCGGCCAAATCTGTCATATAGATATACTCGTAGAAAGACCTAATAGAGTTTTGAATAATATTAAGAAACAAAGTTGCAAATAGACAATTGTCAAGTCAGAAGGAACGGAATACTTGTTAGCAAATATCCTCTATAGGGCTTTATCACTCAGTATTAGTTTATACTTAACATGGACATTTTTTTTATGAAGCCGTAATATTTTCGTCTCGTTTTTTTATTTCCCAAGTTTCTCAGGCTTAGCACTTACGTACTTAAAACATTCAATTTAATTCATTGATAATTAATATTTTCGCAAATCTCAATTTATATTACAAATATATAATTGTTGTTAAAAAACATGACATTTTGAATAAATGAGCTTTTTATTAGAAAAAACAACAATTTCATAAAAAGATTTATCACATATGAAATATTAAAATTTTTGATTCCAAATTAAAACTTAATTCTCGTTATTTCCATACAGTTCTTTACAATTATTCCTTTTGAGTTTCACAGTTATTTTTTTTTGTATATCGCAGTGAAACTGTTTAAAATTCATCTAGCGCGTCGTCAGATTGGGTCGCATTTAAAGATTTTTCGCTCCACTTACTCTTATTACCGACTCATTTGTTATTTATCCTCTTAATAATTTATAAAACTTAAAAAAATTAATGTCAATGAATCGATACAATCTTTTTTTATTATTATGTGTAGTTAACGAGAATATTATATTATTGTTTATATTTTTTTTCTAATTTGTTTTTACTATATGGATTAATTGAACTACGGATTTACGAAACTCAATGTACGAGTATCTATGGTAAAAATTATTTATTTTATATATCAATTCATTATAATTAGGCAAAACAAAAGTCACAGTACGAAACGAGAGAATTATTAAAAATGATATATATTTTTAAATTATTCAAACAGTATCACAGGAGACACACATCGCTGAGCACGGACTATGAAAAGATAAACAAAACAATACTATTTTCTGAAAATACTTATCCAGTGGAACTGTAGAACGTGTGAAATAAAAAGTGTCTCAAATCATTTGTAGCGGTTTACTCTGGAATACTAATTTCTGTACACCATCTCAAGCTTTATTCCATTGCATTTTACATTCAAGAATGTTGGAATTTTTTTATTTGGCTGCGTTCTATTTTTTAGTTTGTACTGTGCTATATTCGTGTACATTAAGGAAGAAATATATACGTTGGTGACGTTTTAATTGTTTTTAGATGTATCAAATCTTTGTTTGTTTTGCCTTTCACATTCTCTCATTGCAGTTTTATTTTAGTTTTTATTTATAAAGTATTACTATTCCATCTTTGCTACAGAATTACGTGATTTTGGTAGACTTATTTCTGCACTAGACTCCATTAGAACTGGCGAGAAATATTTTACGCTTGAAACACTTCGCTTTGTGATACAAATAGAATTTAATGTTGTTTAATATTTTTGAATGAAAATAAAAATTGCTTTTAAATTCATATTAAAACTGACTAAATCTTATATTTAACATACGTGAGCGTACTTATCACGAAAAACTGTTTAAAGAAAAAAAGAACGTAAATAGAAGACTTTCGTACACATTTAAATAAAACTACATATGTTTTTCGGATTTAAATTTTACTTTATATTTCAAATACTTCGTCGTACGATCATCACGGTTTTTGCAAACTAGTCTAAACCCTGTGTTAAATGTACTTAGTGAAATACGTAGTTCATATAAAATTAAGTTAATTTCACGGAGTAAGGATCACTAATATGAAAAACTAGACACTTTGATATTAAATATCAAAAATATTTGAATGTCGCTATTGAGTAATGAAAGTATAGTGATTGAATAACATTTTACTATGACCCATTGTGTTATAAATGCCATTTCATATATACAATAAACCCGTAACTCATCAGTGATACCACACAAGTTAGTATTGTTAATTGAGACGTCTCCAGTTAAACTATGTACCAAGTGTTGGCATTGTTACGTAGAGTTTACTCAAGTAATAACGTTTCTAGGATATTATCCTCTACATAATCTATTGCCTCTAAGCTCTTTATGTCAAAATTGATAGAATTTTCATATAAAAGGTTTGTTTAAATATCCATATTATGTTTTTTAAGTTCTAGATGCCAGATTTCATGGAGTCTAGATGATTGTGATATTTTTTTAAATGTTTCTTTTGTTTTAAATGACTCATAGCATATAAACGAGTATATAATAAGTTTAAGAGAAAATTTAAATTTTAACCAAACAAGACTTGATAACATCATTATAAAATACGTATCAACTAACTTTAATCTATTTAATAATGAAATTTTATATAATATTTTTTCTTATATATAGAATAGTTTAGAATGACACAAAATACTTATTATACCTACTGAATCTGTTTGATCTACAAGTTCTTGTAGTTGATAATATATAAAGGATGTTTTATTCTCAGTTCATTCCAAGAGTACCTGATGTGTTCAGAGCGTACGGTTCAGAGGTCGTGTGGAGATGAGGCCGCCCTGTTCACCAGCGCATTCCTTAAACGAATGGCTTCAAATATAATGAAGGTAATTAATCAATCAATTTAATAACATATAGATACATGAATTAGATACTATTATACAAAATACGCTTTATTTGTTATAAAGACTGTTTCTTTTTAATAATGTCATCTATTTTTGATGTTACAGAACTTCTGTCTAGAATATAGAGGTCAAGAATGCGGTTTGTCTGATGCAGCGACGGCGGTGGATCAAAACTTACTATTATTTACTTTCAGTGTGATAGCAGTTCTATCGCCGCATATAAGAAGTTTTCTAACATAAGTATTTGATGTAAGAAATCTAATTTGTTATTAGGACTTAGGAAGGAACGGGTCGGTAATTAATTTGAAAGAAGTTTGTTGAGTTACCCGTTGCAGCGTTCAGTGAGTTGTACATTATTAATGTGGGTAGATTGTTATACACTCGGTCATGTGAAACAAAAGTTTATGCCTAAATAGTTTTGTTTATATAAGTAATTATATATTTCTGGTTCGAATATGTAGCTTGTATAAAAATATTGGGTTTATTTGAATACATATTTAGTTACCTTATATTTTGTCCATTATAATTTATTGTAAATACATATGTTATGTTGTAGTTTCGTATTCAAATATATTTCGTGTAAAACTGACCTTCTAAATTAGTTTATCATATTTACATATTCGTTTCCCTAATTGTTTATTTGATTAATGTCTTCTGTCTATTTATTATTACATTCATTTTGTTTATCCGTCTTGAATGTCAAGTACATAATCAATATTACAAATGACGATACATTTTAAAATCATTTCATTTTATTTAAAATATGTATTTATAAATTAAATTTTATAGATTCTTCTTATATCTACTATGAAATCGGTTACGTAATCTTCATTGCCGATTTTTTAAAAATAGAACGCTGACGTTTGATATTTAACACATTTTATTTATTTAGTTCTTAATTTATTTATCTGCTCATATAAATGCTTCTGAGTAATTAAAATATATTTAAATGTACATTTTATAGGAGCTCAGAACATCCTGTGATAGATAGCTTGTATGAATGTTTTTAAATCGATATATTTGGTTTATTATTATTTTAAATAAAATTAATTTTTAGCGCCTTTAGAATGTGAATAATTAGTTGCTATAAAGTGAATTGAACTGAGTATATACTCTAGGCGAATTTTTTAGTATTGTGTAGTTGCCTATTAAGTTGCTCATTTGTTAGTTTTAAGTAAGCTTTGATTGATTTTTAAAACAAATATACGCATCTAAATGGATTAATAAGAATTAACATACGTACTTAAGCATTGTTACAAGAAAACTTTAAAAAATCTTTTAAATAATTTTGTCCTCTTCAATTAAACCGAGTTACAGATCTGTAATATTAATTATAAATAATTAATAATAATCAATATAAGACAAGTACCTATGCTTATTAAACATAAGGTTTTGTAATTTTCAAATAATTTTATTCAGTGATGTAAAAATAATAGCAGAATATTATAAAGAGGAAAATGCGTCACGAAATTTAAAAACATCCAGAATTTTTTTAAATCAATTCGATTATTATTTATTATTGATTCAATATAAAAAAGATGAATCTGTCCTAATTAACCTATTTTTTTAATAATTTCCATATGATTTGCACTTTTTTCTATTGTATTAAAAGCTAATATCTATATTTGTTCCTATCCCTCAATATAGATAATAATTACTACATAATTGTATTCTCCATACTAATCACAATTGTAACAATATTCCAGTAATAAATTCTATTACATTATCATTTAATGTATTAAATTTCATTATTAATATAGTTATAAGTTATTGTACATATATATGTATGTACTTAGTTATTGTGTTATATAAAGTAGAGAATCCATATCCATATTATAAACTTGATTATTTATATTATAAAAGAGATTATTAAATAAAACTTACTCGTTATTACGAGAAATATATTATTTTATTTTCATTTCTTCTATATCAATCACGTAATGAGTAAGCTCGATTATTTTGTAACAAAAATATTGCTTAAATAGACCTCGTTAGGAAATGATTTGTTGTTTATGTTATTTCTCTAACATATTTAGTTTTTTGTATTTAATAAACTGAAAATATATTATTGTGCTATATTAAAATAAAAGCCAATATAAGTTTTTTTTACATCCCTACTAATATTATAAATGCGAAAGTAACTCTGTCTGTCTGTCTGTCTGTCTGTCTGCTACGCTTTCACGCCTAAACCACTGAACTGACTTTAATGAAATTCGGTACAGAGATAGAGTTGACCTTGAGAAAGAACATAGGATAGTTTTTATCCCAGACTTTTGAAAGGTTCTCTTGGAAACGCGATATAACCGAACTCCACGCGGCGAAGCTGCGGGCGGAAAGCTAGTAGAATTATAAATTACACTTAGGTGATTTTGTTTTCCCCTTATAATTTTTCATCTATTTGAAAATCTGTTTCATGAAAGATTTTTAATTTGATTATGCTTACTGTATATGTATAATAAGTTGCATAAGAAGATGGTAGTCTTTATATTATTTTTGCATAAAATAAATACTTAAGATGTCAACAACTTCGTAAGAAATAGTTTTTTATGAGAACGAAAATTTTTCCAACAACTACCTGGACAACATGCAAAGTTTCTTCATACTTCTTTTCAAACTGATGAAATTTCATTCTATTTCCATTCAATGTAAGTTCTTCGATATAGAAAGGTTGTATTTTTACTTCACAATCGTTTCAGGGTTCCGTAATTCAGGCTCCAAAAATAATGCTTTTATAAAATTACGTTATTGTCCGTCTGATAATATCTTTGCTTTAATAAAACATTTTATAGTTAATAAGATATTTTTATTTAATTATAATAAAATAAAATAGCCAGGAAGTTTTCTATTGTATCAATAAATCGACGCAATGTCAGTAGGAAAATAATGTTAGATTTTTATTTTGGTTATCGACAATGAGACATATCAAAGTTAAATACAAAAGTCTTTGTATTTTTTCAATCACATTTTGAGAATAATATCTTGTTATCGACAAATTTAGATTTGTATCTTAATAAAGTTATTGTTTTTTTGTTATAATGCTCAGTATTTTCAGGAGGACAATTATTATAATTTATTTAGTTTCACTGCAATTCAAAGGCCAGAGATATCTATTTCTCGATACGAAAGCGTCGGATTTCAACACTCACGCTAAGCGCTAAGCTTTTACTCTTAAGTTTATGTCAATTATTTTATAATACTAGTTTAATCTTCCATTCTTTATATTTTTTACTTATCTTTTTCTGATTTTTAAAAATAGAACAAATAAAGCTATGACGAATTGACCACTAAAAACATGAGTAAAAGTAAATGAAATATTTTCAATCATTTTCATATACAACGTATGTTATACTTTTGATATTTTGGATATATTTTGGATATAATATATATTAAGCGGATATATAATAAAAACAATAGCTTAATATCCCAAGAGCTGATTATCTTAGGCCATAAATAATCCAAACTTGGGATGCGTCGTCTAATTACAATAGACAGACATAAATCACGTACATATAATCTTGTTATTTTAATGAAATTCAAGAATCTTGTGAAACATCTTAAATAAATCATTTTAACATGTATGAACCTGGTTATTACTATGAAATTTTTTTTTCATATAAACATTATAAATATTGTAAATAAATTTGCAACTCAATGGTAATATATTAAGTAATCTTCCAACAACTTTGCATTGAAATATTTTAACCAAAATAACAAATGTCTGTGTACAGTATTCGGGACCAAACTTATACATTTAAACAAATCAAGAATTCTGGACTTTCTCAGGTTGCCGTGAATACAGAGTGGGATCTTTTATCACGTATTAAAAATGCAGTCGATAAAACAATTCGTTTGTGAATAAGTTCTCAAGAGATAATTCAAGCCTGTCACATTAGAGACGTGAAGTTTATTTAACACACTAAATAATGTATACGACATATTATACATAGCATTAGCAATTGTATTTTATATAGAGATAGAAAATAACTCAAATATGTAATACAATCGAAAGATACAAGAGTAGTGGTTATATAAACTTCCCACTTTATTTCCAGCTTCTAAATAGAAGACTTATGAATAAACCAACCTTAATACGGTATTTAAGGTAATGATTTTATAAATCGAAATGGAAATACTAAAAGGAAATCAGAAAAGTATAAATTGAATATACCCACATAAGAAACCTTAAATATCAAACGTTCCAATAATATTAATATAATTAAAAAGAAGTCCACGCTTATTCTTATAAAAGATTGGAATATAGCTTCACATAATAAATTGATATTATATAGTAGTTTAATAAACAGACAAAAATAAGACATATACTTTGTCATAATTAATATAGTAACTTATTTTAGATTAAAAACACTAATTGGAATATATAAAAATTCTTAATACCCGTGTGAAATCAATACATGTACATATATGATGAAGTACAATCGATTTAATTAATTAATTTTCAATTATATACTAATTCCGGAGAAAGCCAAATAGTATTATTAGTTTCTGGTAAATGTTGGTAACTTAAATACTACTATTATTAATCAAGGTTCCGTAGGCTCTGTGACTAATTTATTGTGGTTACGGAATACGGGTAACAAATAGTTCAGTCAGGAGTGTTTATTTATTAAACTACAAGTTTTCATTGTAGATTTTCTGGTTTTCTTTTTGCCTTATTAAAGATTGCAAGTGAATATCTAATGCTACCTGTTTTATTATTGTATTATAATTAAATGCTGAACATACCTTATAGGTACGACACAGCATAAGACGTAAGATTGCTTAAATAAAATCAGATCAAGACGAGATGTGCATATATTTTTATATTTTATCCATCTTGTACTAGAGATATTAAAGTTTGTGAGAGTTATTTACTCAACGAGATAACTTCTATTAAAGCAATAAGTAACGCTGTAAAATACTACGAAATTCAAGTATTCACTTGAAGTTTTAAAGTTATATTTTTGTTTTATTTAGAAAGCATTTATTTATTACACGTATTGAAGTAGCCTCCTTTGTTATTGTTGAAGTCGTCAACTTCAAAACTCTTTATAAGGTGAAAATCTGTGTTATTATGCCAGTAGCATAGAATTAAGTTAAAATATATTCTTTGACACTGTTTATATGTGTATATCATATTAGAAATCTTTCCCAACATGTTTTACACATCGTACCCTTTCGTCTCATAGTTTTGACACAACAACTACCACATAGATATGATTTGTGTTTGGATTAAATTATAT